TTCCCACAGCCTCATAATGTTATTTTGAAGACAGTCTAAAATATTACAAATATATATATATTACAGCATGTGTATGAAATCCCTGCCTTAAGAACATGCTTCTGTTTCTACAAGTGGGGAGTGGAGAAAGCTGTAGAAGTCTCCCACATTAGAAAAGTGAAGAAGTTGATTACTGCACATAGAAAGTTATTAGTCCCCATAAGCCCTTTGCAAAGTACAGCATAGATAGTACTGTACATCTGTAGACTGCAAACAACTGTTTTGGAAATCACCCTGGACCGGTCATTCCATAAGCACTAATTCTCTTCCATGTCCATCATCAGGTAGTGCTGTCAACAAAATGGTAGAAAACACTGGCTTGCACGGTTTTCTCCACCTAAGCACCTTAGTAGCTGTGGAGAGAACAATATCAAACTATTTTGTATTTACTTAGGGGGGAGAGAAAAAACACACATTTTTACAAAATATGCAGAGGAAGAGATTACTACTACAGAGTAGTGAGTTGTCATAAAACTAGGTGTAAAATGTCTGCTTTTCCACCTGCTGTGTCTGCTGTGACCTCCACACAGAAGGTTCCCAACTGTGTAGCACAGCTTGCAATCTGTGGAGTCACAAGGAACATGTACAGTTGCTACTGTAAGAACGGGAAGGAGATGCTGGCCAAGTCCAGTGCTGAGTTTCCACAAAAATATTTAGAAAGCCCTTATACGTGGGAGAGTCAATATGAGTAACTAGACCTGTTTGTTCTGGAACTAATCTCTCTGAAGTCACTCTTCCAGGGCTGCCTGCACATTTAATGCTGTTCATTCCCACTGAAGTAACTTCAGAGACCAGGTCAATATTTTCATGCAATTTTAATAAGCAGCAGAATATGCTGCAAAATAAATCTGAGATTGGTTTGAGGTAGTGTCACCAAGTAATGATGATGATATACAATGTGGTTGGGACCCAGGTGAAATTGTTTCTGAACCTAACAGAGAGAGAAAGCTGGTATGTTGCAGAGGGTGAAGAGCAGGAAAACACAGGAAACACAGTTCAGCTTAGCAGGGCTAGGCAACCTATACAGATTCAATCTTTCATGATTTGATGTTTACAGATTAGAAGGCTCTACTTCTTTTTAAATATACTGAAGAAATAACTTCCTCAACTTAAATAAAACCCCAGTGATCACACCAGCCCAGCTGCAAGATTCATTCCATTACTTCGGAGTGTTAGGGAAAGGAAAAGTTATTTGTTCCTCAAAAAATAATGCAAGTTTCCCTTTTCAGCAACGGAATCACCACAATTAAGTTGGCTGTTGCACCTCCTGGTCTGTCAACGATTATTTTAGTTCTGTGGCAAAAACTGACGTGATGTTTGACTAAGGATACCGCTGCCCTCTGCCGGGAGAGATTTCTTTCCGACTGCTTCATCTAATTGCTTGGAAAGTAACCCGAAGTGGGGAGTTGCTCGCTGAAGTTGGGAGTTTTAATTCCTGCTGCCTCTGTCTTTCCTCGGAAATTTGCTGAATCTGTTTCACCAAATATTTTGAAAATTCTGCGCCTCAGACAAAGTAAAGAGGAGCAAGGGCAAATACATACAAAATCTTAACATGCTGGTAGCAGGAACTGTGAAAATTTGAACTGGAGATTTTTAAAAGCAATCTTTATGATTTGTAAACACTTCAGGCATCCTCAACAATATCTGTTGATATCTGCTGGAGCTAGTTTTCGGTTTTCCTGCCAAAATTCGATCATTCATTACCAGATCAGGCTGAATTCCTCTACAGTTTCTTAATTTTATATATATATGAAATGATATGTATACATATATAAAATTATATATATATATTTAACTGCAGCACTTGCCTAACTGAGCCTTGGCTTCAGTCTTACATCCACACAATTTTTTCTGGTTATGCAGAAATTGAAGCTCATTTTACTGCTTCATTTATGACCGGCTTAACATTACAGATCTGACATTACTATACTTTTGTTGTTTCGGGTTTTTTAAGACAAGTGAAACATGTAATAATATTTTTAACCACTTGAGGGAGCTATTTCATTTATACAGTAGGATGTTTCTTTTGCGAGTACATGATGGAAAATTATAAACAATAAATAACTTTTATACAGCTTATTATAGGATACATCACACTTTACCGACACACGTGAAAGTATTGAGCCTCTTGGGTGACTGAATTTAAAGCACACAAAGAAATTTTAAAGGAATTATCCATTCTGGTCAATAAATGCCAGCATCAGAAATAGCCACAGGTACTTATTCCCTGGCTGACTGACAGCAAAACTCTTAAAATAGAAAATAAATTAGAGTTACTAAGAATTAAGGGTAGGCAGAGATAATCACATCTATTTTGCAGCAGTGCAAAAAATGACAGGAAGGAACAAGACCAGGCACAGATTTTCTAGTAGGGTTGTGAAAGCCTCAACTCTCAGTCTCGCTTCCCTTGCCATCCCCACCTCTCCACAACACAGGCTGGTACAGACCATGCTGCAGCCTCCCCAGTGCCTCTCTCCGCTGCACAAACCCCCCCACTCCCCCCCAACCGTAGTGGGGATATATCTGTCCACCCTGGGCATCACAAAAGCATTAACAGCAAAGGGTTTTCTTTATGCTCCCCCTGCGCTGATAGGCAGGCTCAGGTGCATCAAGAATGTCTACAATCACCAAAGTGATGGCACATAATGTGCACATGAGAGCTGTAAATTCTTGCACAGACTACCTGGGGAGGGGTAGTGGAATAGAGAAAGAAAGAAAGAAAAGAAAGGAAAAGAAAAAAGAAAAGAGAAGAGAAAAGAAAAGGAGAAAAGAAATCAGGGAAACAAGCAGTGCTGCAGAAGTCAAGTTGCCTGGCACTGTGGGTAGGTGAGAGCAAGTGAAGCTGAAGCAAAAAGCTGGGGTGTCGGGGTTCCCATGTCAACAAATGGGAAAGATCACATGCTGATTCAGCCAGGAGTGCTCAGGAACAGTTGTGGTTAGGCAATCGCTGAGCGATGCAACCCATAAGATTAATAGTACAACATTAAAAAATCAAGATTGCAATCACTGTAGTGACAAGCAGAGTAAATGATGTAGGTGATGAAACAGTGCAGCAATTTGGACTGGTGAAGACACAGCAGATGATGGGTGTGAGTGGCAGGGAGCAGAGGCAGCAATGCCTTCTTCCAGTTTTCTGTGTAAAGGATGGAAAGAAAGGTAAAAAGAAAAGCAAACTGACTAACTCTGAAGGTTACATGCATTTCACTTTCTATTAAATGTATCTTATGTATTCTATTAAACGTATCTTACCATCCAGCGTTAGGATTTTACTAATTTGATGAAATAGTTTCTTCAACAATTTGTTGAAGTTTAGGAAACTTTTGGATGTGTTGTTTTGGGGGGTTTGTGGGTTTTGTTGAGTTTGGGGGGGTTGTTTTTGTTTTTTTTTTTTTTCTTTTTCACTTGCTCACAGAGCCAATGGTGGCACCACAAGACAATTCAGTGTAAATAGCACACCATTTTCAGCATGAGGGCACCAGTGACCATGTATAGCTTGATCTGAGAGTATCTTTCAGCAGCATTCTGTTAAAATCAACATCTTCAGAACAGGGGCAAAGTTATGTGAAAATTCCTGGTGCAATCATCATGCAGGTGGTCACATTTCAGCAATCATAAGATTTTCTTTTTGTTTTGTTGGGTTTTTTTTAACAGCTTTAATATTAAGCAGGATCAAGCAGGAGAAAGATGGGTGATGGGATAATAGTGTGAAACACACACTGCAAACTAGATCAGTTTCAGACTTTTTCACTCGGTGGCTCTGCTCAGAGTCCCCATAGAATATGTAATATAGACTAGTTCCAGCAGTCACACATTTAAAAGAGTCTGTCTCGGGTGTCTGTTGGTCAAAACAAATTTGTTTTATTCAGAGGTCTGATAAGGTGACGTGATAGAAATGTTTTAATACTGCATTGTAGCTTTGCCCCTTGGTTTGGGACAATGGCTCCAGGTGCACCTGGGTACATAGTGTGCACAGGGCAGCCCTGAAGTCATGAAGGGAAGACACGCACTTGGAAATTAGTGGCTCAGCTCTGACTGTGGGAAAACGTCCCCATTTACACGGTGAGATGCAGCTACTGAGAGGTTACTGCAGTTTGTTCAGCGGTGACGTGTTCCTGTGCTCCTCTGACTCACCAGCCGTCACGAGCTGTGTCCGACCAGGGAAACAGAGAAAGCGAGGGTGTAAACCCCAGCCTTTGCCCAGTTCCGACCCTCTGCAGTACAGGCTGGGACTGGGAGGACACCCCTCCAGCCAGGCCCCTTCTCGGCTCCCCCCTTGCTGGTGAGCTGCAGCTCATGCTCCCCACGGTAAAACTTGTGAAGGTGAACACCCCCTGCCACAAAGCCCCGCTTCTTGGGGGACAGGGGTTGCTGCTTAAGTTGGCAGGCACTCCATTTTTACTTTCCTTGGCAAATATTTGCCCTCAGTCCCGTAAAGCCGTTTGGAAGAGCCTCACGGAGGGGACGCGCGTTTGTACCGACCCCCGGGGGAAGTGCTCGATGAGAAAAAACGGGCTGTTCCCTCTATGGACGAGCCGCTGGCTCCTCCAGAGGCCTCCTAGCCTTGACTGCTGTGTCCTCCTCCCAGTTCCCTGCAATGACTTGTCCTTGTGCCGGGCGGTGTGTGGGGAGGACAGGGGTCCTCAGGGCACGGTCACGTCTGCCCGTGCGTGTTGGGATCTCGGGCTGGGCGGCCACAGTTGTCCGTGTCCCTGGGGCCAAGGTGCACGGTTCCCCCTGCCCTACTTTTTACCTCAGGCGGGCCGGGGTAAGAGGGCAGGGACTGCCCGCCCCGCCACGACGCCTGACAGGAAACCCGGCGGGGGGGCGCCGGGGAATGGGGGGCCGTGGAGGGGCGCGTCTCACGCGCCGTCTCCCCGCTGTCCCCTCGCCGCGCTCCCCCTTTCCTCCCCCTCCCCTCCCCGCCCCGCCCGGAATGCTTACCAGCCAATAGGCGGCGGCGCCGCTCCCCCCTCCCTCTGCGCGGTGACGTGTGCGAGCCCCGGGAAGAGGCCCCTGCGCGCGGGCGCGTGGCGGAGGCGGGAAGCGGCAGCGGGGAGCCGGCGCTAGCGGAGCTGAGCAGAGCAGCTCGGTCGCCCTGAGGTGACGCTCCCGCGGGTTGAGGGCGGCCGTTCCCTGCCCCCGGCCTGGTGTGCCCCGCGGGAGCCTGGCCGCTCGGCCCGCCGACCCTGCCGGCTTCAGGCCCGGACCGACCCCAGCGGCACCGGCGTCCTGCCGACGCGGTGCTCTTACTGGGAGGCGGTTGTGTCCGGAGCCCTTTCGGAGGGCCGTGCGGCTTGGGGAGGGGCGCAGCTCCCCGCGGACCGTCCTCAGGGCTGGGGCTTGGGGGAGGTGTCGGGGGGCGTGGGTCTCGTTGCTGGCTGCGGCCACCACCGCATAACTTCAGCGGTTGTTTCCAGGATGTTAGGGGGGAAGGTAGCTCACTCATGGTCTCAGGTGTGCTCTGAGTCTTGGCAGGGCTTTAAGCAGCTTCCATTGTTATCTGCGGGTTTTGGGCTTTAATCTATTTTCTTTTCTGTTCCTCTGATTTTGCACGTTGCCGGTGGGCTGTGGAATGACCTTAACTTTGCTGTGGGACCAGCCCAGTGTGCAGAAAGCTCTGCTGGTACCGAGCATGTATCACACCGGCTCTGCTAGTTGATGTTATGCCCTGGGGGCAGAAGGAAAAATATGAAGGGTGCTTGGGATATGGTTATTAGCGTAAGCGCTTTTGGAGGTAGAAGATGTGCCCTCACTGTGCTTTTGAAATGCAAAGATTTACTTCCTATAGCGAGTTGCTTGTCTCCTGAGGCATGCTTACAATTACCAATGTTTCGAAAGGGGAGATGGAGCAACTCAAGGTTTCTCAGGCCTTTTACGAGTACCATAACGCAGTCATGCCTATAAAATCAGGGAGTTTCTGCTAGGAAATCTGATAATGGGATGTATTTGTGGTCCTGCATATCCTGCAAGTGCTGCGTGGGGGAAGGAAGGACTGGTTACGAATGGTGAGGGGCAGTTTCTTTTTGTGATGGTTACAGTAAACGTTTAAAAGTTACCCTGGCATTGTGTCATGATTGATTTAGTTCTAGCAGAGATTAGAGGGGAGGTCTGATGCCCTCTGTGTGCACTGATGTGCTGATGGTTGCTTAGGTAGTGTAATGTTACACCTCTCATCATATGGGAGCTAGACCAGGAGAATGTTTTCATGTATTTCCCCTAGCACAGTTCTTGTTTGGATGTGAAAAATCTATTTGAAATTAGTACCTCTTTAAGTTAATTGCTTGAACTACCCCCCCCTTTCTGCCCCCCCCCACCATGATTTTTCTTTCTCCCATCCTCAAACTCTACTTCTGATTTCTTTCTGATAGTCTTTTAGTGAGATACTCTTAACAGCTGTGCACTGGAGAGGAAGGAGTGCCTTCTTCACCTCTTGAAGGTGATGAACAGTGTACTGAGAAGAGAATTAAACTTGTGACTGTCTTAGAGCTGGAAAACCTGTACCTTTAAGAACAGATGTGGCTCACAACACAGCTTGGAGGAGGAGGCAGTGGAGGGGCCCAAGGAGTACTTTGTTAGTGCATGAATTTATAAGGCAGCTTTATTTGTCCCTCCACTCTTCTGTAGACCCTGTTGTGTGACAGACTGATCCATTCTTAGCCTGTGTTAGGATTTGTGGCATCTCTTTTCTGTTAAAGCAGGAAGATTGAAATGTTTGCCTGTCCAGCATCTCCAGGTAGTTGGAAGCCCCAGGTGGGCAAAATGATCCTTTGCTCTAATGTGATTGTGGGAAGGTTAGGAAGTGGAAAGAGTAATGTCTTCATGATGGTGACTGATGAATGTTTAAAGGCAGGAGCATTTCAGCAATAACTGTGTGCAGAGCTGGTAGGAAGTGAGTATGTCCTGCCAGCTACCTTTTTGTACTGGTTAGCATGGTTACTGCAGGAAGATTTATCACATTCTTCTTTCTTTGTTTTTCATTTAAGTGGGGTTTTTTTTTCAGTATGTAAAATACAATAGTATGTACAATAATATGTACAATAGCTATCAGGTGTTGTACAAAGCCAGCTGGGAAGTTTGCCATTTTTATGGTCTTTGTTTTACAGTTTGTAGTCCTGGCTGTGATCTCTTGAGACAGCACTAAGAGGGGCCATGCTGCCAGAAATAGTGTTGGTTATTGAATTAGTGATTTGTTGTTTGGTGTTGCAAAAGGGTTTTCCCCCTATATGCTGTGATGCCTGAAAGGAAAATGAGAGACTGTTCTACTAGAGAGACAAACATAGGAAGCAGAGTCCTGAAAACATCTGATCATAGTCTTACTTCCCTTTTGCAGAAGTGCCAGCCTCCGTATTCTGAGGAAATCCATCCTTAAATAATTTTGTTCTGCTGTCTTAGTTTTCCTGCAAGTGCATGAATTTTCCTTTCCTGTCTCTAACAGCTCATCTGTGCTGGTACATGTATTCTGTTCACTGGCAGCAAAACGCATGTCTAAGAGTCTGTGCCAAGATAAAATGTATCAAAAGGAAGAAGTGTTAGTTTGAAACTGTGGTTACATACATGCCTGTGTGGGTTTCTGGAAGTCCAGTTCTGAAAAGTGTCCCTGGTTGTAGCTACATCTGAGAGCTGCTTCAGCTGAATTTCCTGGAGAGTATGCTGCAATGTCCATTTGTCACCACACCAGAATCTCTTTCTTCCGTTTTCATTAACTAAAATTTAGGTTTCAGCCTGGCTGTGGTGCTTACAGGTGTTCACTACTGGCAGCCCTATCCCCAGCAGTGACCTTTGTAATTGAATCTGTTGTAGTTCAAACCTGATTTTCTCTTCCTGCTTTTCTGTGCTTTGTAACACAACCATTGTCTGGCCAAGCAGAGCGCAAGGATCTATTGAGGAAGCTCCTCTTTCAGTAACAACTGAAGACTTGTCAGGAAGGGGCCTGACTCAGGCAAAATAATGTGGTGATTCTGCAAAGCAAACCTGCCAGATCTCTTGGAAGACAAATTTTTGTCTGACCTGACTATCAGCATTTTCAAGGGTGCTTCGGCCTATTAAAGATTTCATGAAGTCTTAAGTCATTTTAACTAAAGGTCTGGGAGGGGATCTGTGGGGAGATACTTTGATGGGGAAGCTTGTTTGGTTACTTTGTTCCTTTACTGCTTATAGTAAGGGAGAGGAAGTGTGATCCACAGTAAGTGACTAATACAAGCGTGTGCTTAACTTCCCCTACCCTTATGCTGAGTTCATAATGGAGGTAGGAAAGTTTAGTGTCAAGAAGGCTATGTAAATTTATTCTTGAACAATGTGAAAAGTAAATTAGTTTCTTTTGTCATTAATTATGTGCTATCCTTTTCTTGTCTACCTAGGCAACAATGGCAGGTGAAGACTGCATAAGAAAACGCCCCTCAGGCTCCACTACAACCTCCAAGACCCCTGAGAATGAAGAAACACAGAGGAGACCTGAGGGCGAGAGGTCATTTCAAAACTCAAGCAATGGTGAGACTCTTAGGGTTAGTTATGTCTCTGGCATGCAGCCTCTTCTAAGGTGTCCTTTCTACCTCAGGGCTCTTGCTTCTTTGCTGTTTCATTTCAATGTTTCTGCTCATAGGAAGGGTGCCAAGGTGGAGATCCCTGTGTACCAGCTGCACATCTTCAGCAGGTGTAGGTTGTTGGAAGTGCTATCCTGCAAAACTTTCTCTTCTGTGTGCTGCTTTCAGGGATCTAGAGTAAAGAAAGTGATTAACTGCCACAGGACAGTTGTGTGTGATGAGGAGGAGATGCTTTAATGCTGTAAATGGTGCAAATGCATCTTGACAACAATTCTGAATAATCCTGATAAACACTTTTTTGGTGAATACTTTTTCTGGGTACTTCACCTTGCTTCCTTTACAAGCATTAAGTATGTGGCTTTCTCAGGATTGAACACAGGTGTCTTTAACATCCATGCCAACCTGGCATCTCCATCCTGACAGACAAATGGAGATAGGATGCCACAAAAAATGATTCTTTATTCCTGTGGGGTTCTGTTAATGTGAGAACAGCTCTTTTCTATCCAGGCTGAACCTTGGCTGCTGTAAAATAGAGCAATAAACAGTTGGGTTTGTGTTCATTTGTATTGTGGTTACTTTAAAAGTTATGTGGCTTATAGTTGGCTTTGTGGAAGGGTCTCTGCTGCCTGTGTCCTGTCCCTTGAGCTGCAGGGACAGTTGTGTGGCAGTATGAGCAGTTTTGCCTGTGGACTCTGTGGGCACTGTGTCTGCCTCTAATTCCTGGGTTATACTCTACCACATTCCAGCCCAGTGATAAGGAGGTTAGCGGTGAAATTGCAGCTTGTTTTCTTTCTCTTTGGAAAACAGACTAAGCAAAAAGCTTGACTAGTTTAACAGTGTGCCATGTGAGTATAAGTTCCAAAAACCTGGTGCCAGTGGGTCAAGGGGAGAATTCTTGCTGGTATGCTTCTGAATATTGTCACTATTTCACAGTACTTTCCACTGAAACAGGAGTTGGAGCAAATTTAAGTTTAGGACAAGTCAGATATCTTTTTGCAAAAAATAGGTTGGAAAGAAAGCCATCCCACAGATTACTTGGAGAACTGGGGTGTTAAGCTGTTGGTGGTATGGTCATTTTAATTGAATCAAATGGGACTGTGCCATTAATGCTGTTCTTAGAAAATTGCCTGTAGTTGATGGCTACTTGAAAACGATTGTGATGGGTTTAGAAGCAGACCTCTACCTTTTTATGTATGGAAACACCTTAACTGTTACGCATGAATTTGAGTTCTTGCAAGCTTGTTGGTAAAGAATAAATAAAGCTGTTATAATTAGCACTTTATAGGTGGGTGTGCCTGTCTTTAAAAGCCTTTCATTGTAATACCTCCGAGACATGGCATAATTTCACTGCAGGTGAAATACTGTTTGTATGTAGCAAGTAAACATTCTGGGGTAGATCTCTTGGAAGTATACTGAGCTTTCATGTGTGTATGTGTGCCTTCTGGGTTGGCTTTTAATAATGCAAGTGTGTTTTAATACAGTGCAAACTGCAGTGAGGGGCAGCAGGGAGGGATCCTGGTTAGTTAAGACTAGGTACCTTTAACCTTCTGGAGTTGCTGCCATTTCAGCAGAAGTGTCATAAAGACTTCAGTTTTTGTAGACTCTTTGTTCAGCTCAGTGATGGGGACAACAGAAATGCCACAGGGAGGTAGGAGGCACAAATCTGATGCCTGACCACATTATAGGTCTGGGTGAAAGATGCATTCCTCTGGTCCTGAGTTGCCCCGTACAGTGGGGTTAGATTAGCAGCTCTGACACAAAGGTTGAAGCTTTACAGAGTTGAACTGCTCACATGTTCCAGATAGTGGCCTCTTCATGTAGTCCAACATGCTTGCATAACTAGGTAGGCCGTTCTGTGAACAAATAGCTGAGGTGGAAGCATTTCTCAGAAGTAACCATTGACTTCTCGCTTTCCTTTGTCCTAGTTATTCACTTCTGAATAGCTGTTTCTAAGGCATTAGCCCTGATGTGTACAAAGGCAGCATGGGGCTAATTATCTGCTCTCTGGCAACATCTTTTTTTATAATGTAGCGCACCGCTGGCTGTTATGTAGAATTTTAGAGAAGATGAGTGTTTATTGAAGTCAGGGGATTCCAGCCAGGTCACGACAGTGTCTTGTATGCAGGTGAGTATGGTATTGTCTTTGTGGTAGTTATTTCTGTAGGAAAAACTAAATAGCTAATGTGATTTCTAACCCTTTATTCTCCCCAATAAGCAAACACAATCAGCTTTTTAACTTAACAGTTAATGTGTCAAAGGCAACTGACTTGCTTTCAGAAGTGTGTGAACTTTCTACAGAAAGTTCTAGGCCATTAATCCTGTTTTCATTAAAACTCAAATGCATTGGCAGATCTGAAATTATTTAGGGGAATAATTTTAATCTGTATGTTGTCTTTAGAGCTATGTTCACTCTGATTATTCCATCTTTATAATTTAGGTGATTATTTTCTTTCTTGCCTCACCAGTGCTTCTGAAGACTGACTCATTGCCTGAGTTCTAAGACTGAATAGTTTGTACTCTGGTACCCCCAGATTTATAGCAACGTGGAAATATTGACAGCTTTGAGATTGCCAGAAGAATCCTTCTGTCCTGTGATGTGTTTGTATATTGTAAACATTCAGGCTATGATTTCACTTTGACAGAGCAGCTGAACTTCAGTCTCATATATCACTTATCTTCCTTGAACTGGCTCCAGTATCATAATTAAACAACTAATTCGTTCCTGGGATAGCAATAGAAGGTGATCTAGGCAGCCATAATCCCTTGTCAGAAGAAGGGCTTCCTTAAGATTAGTCTTACATGTTTTCAGGTGGAGATACATAAAGAAATATGAAACTGTTCTGCTTAAGGGGATATTAATATTGGGCAGCACCAGTTGCAGGGAAACTTACCTGAATTAACATAATAGAAACTGCATGGGCAGATATTGAAAGGTTAGAAAGGCTGTTCTCTCAAGCACACATCTGAGCACCTCTAAAATACGAAAATGAGACCATTCAAAACAGTAAACTGATGGGTTTGGAGTTTACCTTTGTTTCCTCAGAAATCAGAAAGGGTTTAGAAGTGTCTCTGGAGACTGATCAGCAAACAAACTACGTGGCATATCTTTGTTTGGTGTAAGCCTGTTTGGTAATGCTAATCTTTGAAAGGGTTTATTATCTTCCACTGAAGAGATTACTATTGATCAGTCTCAGGGCAAACTTCCTGACACTGCGTGAATTGTATGTGCCTACTGATAGATGTAGAAGGAGGGAGCTCTGAGACTGAGAGAAATTTGGGAGGCTTTAGGGTTTGCTGTCTGACTCACAACAGTAAGCATTCATTCATTCTATCAACAGGCTGTGTTTTACAGATTACTAAATTGGGATTAAGCTGCTTGAATTGAGTATTTTGGATCTGTTTCCAGGAGGTGGATCAAACGGAGCAGTCTTGTCTGAGACTAGGTGGGTTCTGGTGATTCTAGGCTCTCATATTTTGCAACCTGTGGATTTGAAGACTGAGCAATATCTTGTGAAGAGCCTGTGGGTATGGTGGCATGATGTAGAGAATGCAGTGTTTTCTTCTGCTAGTGAAGAGGCTGTTTGGGTCCTGTGTCCCTGCAGAAATGACTTAAAACTGAATTTCTTGCCCAACTGCAGTGCACTTGCCTATGGCCTATGTGTTCCTCAAGCAGATCAAATGAGTTCTGGAGCAATCCAGTCATAACTTGCCTCTGTCTGCTGAATGGCCACATAAATTACTGTAAGTTAGAGTAAGGCTTATTAGCATCAAATTATTAAAATACGTTGTACCAGATATGGAAGACTTCCTCTCTTTACAGTAGCCTTGTGCTAGGTTGGCTTTAACATTGCTTTCCTTAAGATAACATCTTTAGTGTTTTTAGAGAGGGAGTCTGAGTCCAGGCATCTGACAGTAATGCAGTCTTTCTGCCTACATTGCTTTAACCTCTTGAATAGTGAGTTATCCAATCAAGAAATAATGAAGATAATATTTTTAAACCCTTTTAGAGAAGGGCACTATTGGTACAGTTTGTATCTGTGACTTTCCATGAAGATCCTGAAACTAAACAGATCCTGACATCATTAGGGGAAAATGCTTCTGACCCATGAGTGGTGTGCTTGGATGTTCCAAGAGCTGGTGTTTTTTGTAGCACATGTGGCAAACTGAAGTTCGGTCATGTGCTTTTTCTAGCTTTTCTGCGAAGAGGCATTTTTTTTGTCTTGAATGCAGTGCAGGGATTTATACAGCAGTAGTCTCCCTGGGTTGTTCTAGCTGCTCAATAATAAGGTTATTGTCACAACACAGAAATAGTTGGAGTGGCAATGGCTCAGAGTGCTGGGCTGCAGGCAGCTTCTGTGGCTGGTGAAGTCACTACAGCCAGGAACTGTAACTGCACACAAGCCACAGTTTTACTCAAATGACTTATTCCCACATGTGCCCTTGGTGGTAATTGCAGACTGTAGAGGTTAAATAAAATTAATTCTTTTGAACACAGTTAATTTTTGAGAGCTTTCTTAGTAGAGTGCTGGCTAGTTTTTCATGTAGGAGCTGATTTTATTGGATCCCAAGCAACACTAACAGATTATAGGAATGGGATGCTTCTTTAGTCATCTTGCATATCGTTTACCTATAACATGCACAGGATTAGGTTGAAAAAGGGACAGCAAGATCCTTTAAGAAAGGTAGTTTGAAAATCCTTTATGAAACTAAAGTTGCTCAAGTTCTCAACAGTAAAAAGCTTTCTCAATCTTCAGGTGATTGTTTATTAGCCTGGTTTCCTAGGGAAACAAAACTTACATTTAAATTGCTCAATTTTTTTTCTTCCAACTTTTGAACCTGCTTGGAATTTGGGCTGTGCAGCGGGGTCGCATCCTGCAGGGATCAGTTTCTACAAGCCCAACACAAGTGGTCAGCTAAATATCTTATCAGTGCCTTTGCTGATAGGAATGGATCACAACTCTCATTAAGTTAAAACTTCTCTCTGTGAGCAAAGCTATTTCAAAGTAAACCCTACTTCAGTCTGCTGTGAAATTTGCTACTATTTCATACAAGTCTTCAAAGGAGACTTCTTTTCCTTAATGACTTTAATGATATTTCCTGTTTTCTAAAGTCATATCCCATCTTGTTTTAAATGCTAAGATGTGCTTGCTTGTCCTGTGCAGTCTTGAGTTCATTTTTGTCTTGATATTGCAAACCCAAAGTGATAGTCTTCATTGCCAGTGTCAAAGGAAAATGAAGATTTGGACTTCATGGCAATGTGCAATTCTTTTTAGACTCAAAATCATGTGGTGATTCTGTTCTACAGTGACCTCACAGAACATAAGTAGCAGCTTGCACAATGAATGATTCAAGAAAATGATATGTTCTCTGGTATCTGCCTTGTGACACAGTTTGGGTTTATGGGGTGATGCAATACAGCAGAATGAGTTGTTGTGTTGGGTTTTCTTTTACAGGAGGCTCCTTTTTCTGGAAAAAGCAATAAGCTTACAGGTGTAAGCTTGTGGTTTTACTCTGAGATGCATATACTAAAGACACGGAGATCTTGATTTATTTTTTTTTTAAATCCTTTTAAAGGATGACATGTGTCTAGTCTAGCCTGTGCATATACATTACTGTGTGCATGAATAAAGTGATAGGGAGGACACTACACACAATTTGGCAATTACAATACCAGCAGGTCAGAGACTGGCCTCGTTTCCTGTGCAACACTTACAGCTGTACATTAGGTATCTGTGAAACTATATCCATCCATAAGGCTTTGTAAGTCAAAAAGGATGTTTTGTTTCCAGTGACCCACTCTTGGATTGATACAGTAACTGAGGCTTTGAATGCAAGGTCTGACAGGAAATACATGGTCAAAGCAGTGGTGATTAATTTTTAGCTTAGCTCACAAAGAAAGTAGTGCAGTCCCTTAAGCCTCATTAGCTGTTCTCTTTGGCCACATTGGACAGCTTTAAGCAAAATTGATAGTCTTAGAGACTGGCAGCTGGATAAGAGACACAAATACTATTTATTTTTTTTTCAGGGGAAGGTTAGTTGTGCTGTGTGCTCAGTGGCTCTGTTTGGCCTGCTTTCTAGCAGGTGAGTGCAAGGCGGTTCTTAGTACAGTAATAATGGGAGGCGAGCACTGTGAATACAGTTGTGGAATGGGACAGTGAGGGAGTAGAGCCGTTGAGGTAATATGAAGGGGATAGAGTTCTGCTTGTGCAACAACCTGTTTGGTTTGTTGAGGTTTTTTTAGTTAACTGGGAAAGAATCCATTTGAGACAAGCAAAGTGCACGAGCCGAGTGGACAGGGAACTTTGTAGTTACATCTTACACTTGCAGAACACAATCTGAGTTTAACAGCATGGTGAGCCTAAATGCTGAGGTTTGGGGTTTTGTTTTTTTTTACTTGGAGGTGAAATGCATAGCAACCAGGGATCCTATTTTTGTAAAAGTCTATCTTTGTGTAGAGCCAAAAACTGATGGTGTTAAGCAGTTTCTTTGTTTGTTGCATTGCAAGGCTTCTAAGTAATAGATTGTTCTTGCTGGTCTGTTCTTAAATCTATAGCTTGTGTGGCATTTTTTATAGACAAGGAAATTGATGCTAACAACCTAACATAGTTTTATTGGAGACAAAGTCTCTTGTTTCGTTTAACTCTTTTCCAGTATGGGAATTGGAGTCATCTCTGAAGCAGGTCAATCTAAACTTCTTACAACTGGTTGCTCATAAGAACACCTTCAGACTAGTGTGCATCACAGAAGCACTCATTCCTATGAAAACAACATGCTGCATTTTGTGTGCATAGGCTGTGCTTATACAAGGAGGACAAGACAAGAAGGCTGTGTTATGAGCCTTGATATCACTAAAGTCTGTTTTGTCACACAGCAGCACAACACAACATTAGCATCTCTGTGGCAAATCTGTTAGCTCATGCTTCCCTGGAATATTACTACGGAAGCAGTTCAGTACCCTCTTTTTTTGAAATGTGCTACTTAGAAACTGAACATGCAAGTTGTAATGCTAGCCATTGTTCCAGCGTAAGGTACTGTTGTAGCTGTAATTGACAAAGGACATTAACAAGACAAGATTTGCTGCTGTCTTTTCACTCTGATGTTTTAGGGCGGTGAACAGTGCTGCCTTAATCTTACTTTTCCTTCATGTGCAAGACTGTTTTAAGTAACTTTTTCTTCCATGTCGCTTTTATTGAAGTGAAAAGCCAGCTGCATGCTAGCACTCTACCACCACTTCAGACAAACCTTGTCTTGAAATTCAGCTAGTCTGAAATGTCTAATTTGTTTATGTTGTTCCTGTTGGTATAACAGAGGCATCTCAGATCTGTATAGCTCTTTATGCAAAAGAAAGGGGTTATCTGAGGAGTTACATATTAGCCAGCGGCATTAGTAATGATAAGAATCAAATGATGTTCCTAGTGTGGTTAGACCTAGCTGTTTGCTTAAGTAATGAAACATATTGAAGGATACAGTCAAACTGATATCTAGCACTTCTCCTGGGGGGATGAAAGGAGGGGGAATAGCCAGATTTGAATACAGGATAGCCTTCCAATTTGCCATTTAGCCTGTCTTCAAAGCTGGTTGTGTTATTTTACAGTCGTTGACTACCTTGTCATTGGCAATGTAGAGACCTCCAGACAACTTAATCTTGTGTCTGTTTCACTATACATAAGATAAAGCTCTGATAAAAGATCAGCACACTTGGATATGACCTTTGAAGTATTGTTTTTATCGCTGCTTCAAGGCTGAACATGTTTAGGGACCTTGGGAAGATTTGCAGAGTTGCTGAAAATAAAGCTTTTGAAAATATGGCGTGTTATCAGCTGTTGACTGTCTTACAGTGCTGTGATCCTAAATGGCTGTTTAAAATATTTGGTCATAGCTCATGAATTTCCTGCAGCTTTGTTTTGAACTTACTGGAACCTTACTAGAAGTCAGAAGAAGTAGTGAAAAATCAGTGACTAAGTGTGTTGTGCTTTCTGTGTTTTCAGACATGAAGCTCACATCACTGAAAATACACATGCTAAATATTTGCTTTCTTCCTTAGGCCGGGTTGATGTTGACCATGTGATAACAAGGAAAATGCAGCTAATAGCAGAAGCTGAGGTAAATACACTTTAGTGCTTGCTTGTGGGGAGGAGTGGGATAATTGACCCTGAATGTCTTTTGGAGAGTCACTAGTCCTGGAACACGGATACCTCTACTCAGTCATAGCTTGAATGCTGTGACTTTTATACAGCCCTCTTTCTTGCCTCTTCCTCTCCTCTGCACAAGTGGGACAGTATTATCAAATGCAGTTGTCTTACACAAAGATAAGAATGAACTTTGAGGCCTGTAAATAAAATGGAACTTCCCTTGCTGCGAACTTTTGGTGGTGTGATTATCAGCTAGCCTGCTTGCATATTTAGTCTTTAAAATGCTCTGTGTCCTGCTATCCATTGAATAAAAAACAGTGTGTATCCCACAGCTTCTCTTGCCCTTGCTATGGAGATGACCTTCCTGAGCCTTGGTCCCACTTTTTTTGTCAGTGAGCAGTAACCTAAAATTAAATAGTGCTGGGTATTTATAATATTGTTTATGTGAGCTGCCATTGTCTTAGAGTATGTTAAGATGATTTATGCCCAAATTAAATGAAGTCAGCTAACAATGAACTGCACCCTCCTTGTTAACCATTGTTTTGTAGCACACATGTTCTTCAGGGCAAATCATCGTGTTCTCTTACTTAATTTTACTGCAGAGAATTCCATGATAAGATGAAGTAAGCTAATTGTGCCAGCCTTATGAATTTTAGGGAGTAGTTAACTTATAAGACAGAGAAAAATATTTTGAACCTTTGAGTTGTTTTCCTGTTAGTCTTTTTTAAATATCTTCTGCAAAGGATGTACTGCTGTTTGTGCTAAAACTCCTAAAATTCAGCCCATTCAAGGGGTAGTCAGCTCTGAATTCTATTTTGTGTGTTGTCTTCTCTGAATGATTATTACTGAGGACATGATAGAGCAAGCCTCATATCTTTTCTCTGCAGACAAAACAGCCACTGCAAATCACTATGTTGGCAAAAGATGCTTGCACAAGAAAACTCTGACTTGTAAGCACGTGTTGCTTTATAAGTTCCAGGGAACACTGCTTGAGTGCAAGGGGACAACTTGATCTCGGAATTTTTTATTTTTTTTTCTTCCAGGACTGTCTGTTGTTTCTAATTTTTTATTTATTTTTTTTCCTGTCCACCAGCTTTGAGACATTCTAGTTTGTAGATAAATGTTTTCTTAGCTGGAAAGAGGATGGAAGAAAACCAGCAGGGTCAGTGGCAGTTTAATTACTGAAGTTTCTCCCAAAACATGGGGACTTCAGGTTTTAAACCCAGAGTTAGGCAGCTTGCAAATTTGTTTAGGGTGCCCCAGCGCTACAGTAATAGCTGTAAGGCTGAGTAAAAACCTCCTTCTACTGCAAAATTCCTGGAGCATCTGACCCTTTTGCTGTGTGAACTGCTGAACAAAGGTTAACTACAAACCTTTTAGAGGATGGGTATCAGAGGTCTAGACAGATGCTTACTTCTGCAAAGTGCTGGTCACGGACAACTCCCACTGATTTCAATGGGATTTGTAGGTGCTAGGTGTTATTCATGCACAGTATGCCTCAGTGCATTTGCACTCCTTTCTGAAAATCTAGTCCTTTGTTCATCCATTTGCTGAGTTGAGAATTGTGTGTTCTGTCAGTTGGTCACGTTTCAGTGACTTAAAATTATGAAATCTGTTAGAATAAGTAAAATGCTGGGGAACTTTTGCAACTTTCTCTTTATAAGTACAGGGTTACTTCCCTCAACTTTCTCTCACTTGTGACCAATTACTGGCCAGCTTCTGCTTTTTATGGCGTAGCAATCTTCTAATACTTGTCCCCTTTTTGGTTTTGTAATGATCTGATTCTTTTGTTTAAAACTTAATGGTGACAGCTGTATGGATCTGCCCAGTTCTTTGTCTGACTTCAGGCATGCTTTAGGAAACTTGGTTAAGTGCTGTCCATTGGGAGAACTACAAAGAGGCTTTTCTAAACATTTCTGTGTCCATCTGTGCCCTGTTGTAGTGAAGGCTGGTGAGCAGCATGTTCTCTTTAGTTTCATTTTTTTGGTGGCTGGGTGCAATGTACTTGGGTTTATTGAGCACCAGTGGTTACTCTGACAATTGCTCAAGTAGATTGCCCTTTGAATGGCAAAAGTAATAGTTGATAACGTAGCATATGCTGTGCAGTTTTGTGGTACAGTTTTACAGTTACTATAGGCCCTATGCTCTGGTTATATTTTATTTAATCTAATGAAAAATTATGCCCTGCATACCCAATCTGAACATATGCACATGTTGATATCAGCTCTGGAGGGTTGTATTAGGAGGGGACATTTTCAGCAGAATGCTGACTAAAGGGAAGATGTAGTTAAAGGAAGTAATTTCTGTTAAATTCTTGCTGAGAGGAGATTAGGCTGAAAAAAGGGGAGAGACTAAAAAAAAAAAAGAAAAAAAAAGAAGGGTTTTGTAGGAATAAATAGTGCTTTATTTGACATGGAAATTTTAGGTTTGCAAGAGGAGCAGAAGTTTCTATTTGACTTTTTTGGTAGGGATGTACATGCATGCTGTAAAAGTAGGCTGTGCCAGAGAGCACTAGCTATCTTCTGTTACAGGTTGTAGTTCCAAACTACTCAGGGTTTTTTTTCCCTTTTGCTTTTAAAGAAACAAGTCCACATCTCTTGCAGACACAATCCTCTGCCTCCCAGAAAAATGGTACCAAAGAGAAGCCAACTCCTAAGAGCTTCTGTTTCAGTAAGCACTGGTGAAGCTTGTTTATTCTATGCTGGCAGCTGCCAAACAGGGGAAAAATGTTTTTATTAAGTTAAATATTAATCTGCTTTTTCTACTGTGACTTCTGTTTCAAGAGATGTCTTTGGATCTGACCGCTGTGATACAGCAGGAATGTCAAGTTCTGATGCATCTTGACTTCAGGGCTTTCTTATTTTATGTGCATCTGTATCTTCTGCCAGAGTGAAACTCGCTTACTTGGCTGTTGTCACATTAGACAGCAGCATTTTGTAAGAATATATCATCTGTTAACGTATTTTGTTAATCTGCAAGTTTTGCTTCTCAAGAGAGCTTTTTAGCTTAGCTTGTTGGGTTTTTTTTTGTGATCCACTGCATAAAATCAATCCAAGCATGCTGGGGAAGTGAAGCATCTGTCATGGATGACAAGTGTCCATCGTGGAAACAGACCCCTTAAAACATAGTTGTGGTATGAGGTCTCTATGAGAGGCAAACATATCCCTGCTGCAGCTAACAGATCCAGTTTCAGTTAACTGTCTTTTCCTTCTTTTCTTAGACCTTTATCTGTTCTTTTTAAGCAAAAAAACAATGCAGCTCCATTTTTCTTCAGCATAAATATGAGGCACTGAGATGTAAACGCTTACTGATGAAACTCAAGTGTGACAAATGCCTTTTTGAGCGAAAAACAAACTTTGTGTGCACAACTTCCAGGCTCTCTCCTTGAAAATTAATTTCTTGGTTTTGTTATTTTCCAGCCTTAAAGATAAGGAAGTAGGTAGCAGCTGCGACTTCTGAAGGTGGTTGGGGAAGCAGACATGTTCCTAAAGCAGCTAATCATTAGGAAGATGAGATGAAATGATAGATAGTTATCATGTAGGAAAACTTGAACCTTGAATCTGGGGGCCAGTTGAAAAATTCCAGGCAAAAGGATGGTCAGACAAATGTTGCTAGTAGGGACTTGCATTAGAAAAACAGAACACAGTATGCATAGATTTGAAGTAATGTCTTGAAACTTGCCAATCCCCTGTGCTGAAGATGATGGTTCGAGAACATGCCAAAGCATTCTCGAAAGGCTTATGGTTCAGAAACTCAGTGGTTAGCTTTCGTTCATGCTTCATCGCTATGCTCTAGTATTGGGAAAGCCATTTGGTGTCTGAGAACTTGGCATTAAGGAACTGAATTCTCAGAAGTCTTATAAATCACTGTCTTCTGAAGTGCCAGAGATCTTGGGGTTTAGATTCCCAAAGTTCTTGCTGCAGCAGGGTGAACACATGTTGCCTTTTTCTTTCATAGAGGAAATACGTTTTGCCTACCCTTTTTTTTTTTTTTTAATCATAACACTTAAGCCACCACTCAAATGTCAGGATCCTTTCTGCATATAAAGAGTAAGAGAATTTGCATTGCAGCAAAAAGCTTTCCAGAGTTCTGTGTAGCACTTTCTGCAGAAATAAGTAACTGAACTTTTTTATTAAGTTTCTCCTAAATGGATCTAATTTGAAAAATTCTGCCTGGGGTGTGGGAGATCAGGTCTTTGAAAGTTTGTAATGGACGGAGTAGCAGATTAACTATATTTCAGACAGGAAAATACATGGTTGAATTACACATGCTCATCTTTAGGCAAGATGAAAGGGGTGTAAGAATATTGTATCATTTTGCAATCTGCCTTTTGAAGATTAACCATATCCCTTGTCTAGAAACTTATTATTGGGAGAGCTAAGTAATGTTTTTCTTTTTCTAGAAAAACTCTTTTACCAGTTGAAGCAAGCAGGCTCTGAGCAGGGTGGCCTCTCCTTTATCCTCAGCTAATTATATATATATATATTTTATTCCCCCCTCCCATTTTTTTCAAAAAAGATGGTAGAGAAGGATGCTTATTTCTGGCTTTTGATGCACCCTTAGAAGTCGAGGCCTCTAGTAAACTACATGCTTCAGAAGTTACTTTTGTCTATTAAAATGAAAGAAGAAAACTAAGAATAGGCTAAGAATGGTTCAACATTGTCGCAACTGGCTGTTAGTAGAGATGATAACCTGTGTAAAGCTGTCTGAAGAAAAGGGAATGTAGGAGATTCAGCTTGGGATATCTGATCCCATGAATTCTTAAATTTCAGTCCTGCTGCCTACCAGGTTTTTGTCTGTCACTGCTCAGTCTAAATACTTAGCAATGTTACTCTATCCGTTGCTCTCCTAAAATTTTTCTGTGCATTCTGTAATTTCAGTGGTACATGAAAGTTTTCATGCAAACAGTGGTAGCAGTGGCAGGGTAAATTTGGTCCTTCTTCTTACAGTCACATCATTTAGATCACCTCTGTTAGGGTGTGAGAAAATCAATGGCAATTGCTTAGCCACAAGCACAAGAAGGTCAATTTTCCCCTCAGAAACACTAAATGGCTTATAAGTAAATCATCTTGTACTTATTTTGTATGCTAAAGATGTAACTAGTTAAAATTGAGAAATGTTTTCTGGGGCTCATGTATCAAGCTTCTTGGCACTCTAAATGTGAAATACCTGCCCCTCCAGGCATACATATGAAGATCAGTGTGTTTACTTTGCTTCTGTGTTGCATCTGATGAAGAAGAGACATGTTAGTATTCAAAGTTCTTTGGCCTGAGGTGTGTGAACAGGACAGGATAAGCCCCAGTCCTGTCCAAGTTGGCTCCAGCTGTTGGCAGATGCTGCAGGAATGTTTTCTTCATGCCTTGCTTTGTCCTGCTCTGGGATAAGAAGAAATACGAATATATTTCTTAAATATATATGAGCACTTAAAATATTCATCCAGATTGTTAACCACTTTTCTGCTCTGTTTTTACTGTCAGCAACTGAAGCCAGCTTTCATGAAGGAAGTGGACAGTCACTTCACAGAATTTGTGAACAATTTGGTGGCGAAATCAGCACTCCTGGATTCCTCATCTTCAGCCTCCTTATTCCCAGCTTCCTGTTCAGAGAAGGAACTGCTCAAAGCCAGGTAAGTCAATTTTAAGGTGTTCCTATAATAAGAATGTTGCCTGAAAGCCTTATTTCCTTTCTTATTTCCTTTTGTTTCTTGTCTCTAATGTTCTCCTCTTTGTTTGAAGGACCTTAAGGGCCCCTCCAGAACATGGGAAGATCTTTACTGCCAGGAGATCCCTTTTAGAGTGAGTAACTTAACTCCACATTTTCAATCAAATTGTTTGAAAATACTCCAGGTAGCAAACTAACTAGGCTTTAGTTTCAGGGGTTCTCCCCACCACCACTTGTGCCCTTATGTTCAAACCTATGTGGACTAATTTGTTCAAGCTTCTCTGTTTCTAAAATATGTCTACTACTGCCTTCAGGCTTCCCTGAAAGTAAACCGTAATTACAGTCCTCTCAGTATTGCTGAGATAATGGCTGATTATCCTTTGTCTAAGGATAAACCAAGGATGTGTCTGTGTAGACTGGCATTCAAATTCTACATTAACTTTACTCTCCTGAATTGGGATAGCAATGATGTCATCTTACCCAACTGTGGAACTCTGAAAGCTAAATTACTGGAGATGTAATGTGCTATGGGAATGGCCTTATAGCATTTTAATTTCTCCCTTAGTGAGCTGTTTGAAGTAAGTCACATCAGGACGATCTACCACATGTTCATCGCTCTTCTCATTGTCTTCATCCTCAGCACGCTTCTAGTAGACTTCATTGATGAAGGAAGGTAAGAATGCTTCAGAAAGACAAGGATCAGGGCTGGGAAATGCTTGCTTCCAAGGCTCCAGAGGTACATGAAACTGCAGAGTAGAGCAAAAAGAAGGGGGCATACTTCCTTGAGATATTGTTGGAGGAAGGGTTTTAAACTTGATATGCTTTGAATATATGCAGAAATTTGCTGTTCAGGGTATATGGTAATTTTAAGCTAGATATTAGGAATATCCTACAGGTATTCCATGAGAATTGTGGCCAGCACAATTTGGCCTAACATGCTTAGTTCATCCCAAGACCAGCAAAAGGAGGAGGTCATTACTGAACGTAGACTGGTTTAGTTGAATATCTTAAGTGGTAGCTTTCAGCTGCTTGCATTGCTTGAAGGAGTGCTGGGTTTAGAAAAACTCCTAATATTTCAGCAGCCCTTCCTCTGCTTAAAAATGATAGTTCTGCAACACTGTACTTTTCATTAAATAAAAATAGAACTTTTTGTTTTCTCTAGGGAAAAATCTCAAGGATATTGGCACAGATGGTTAAGACTGTGCTTTGCAGGTAGCCAGTTGTAAACAAGAATGAAAGACTGGTTTCCTCACACTTGCTTGTTGCATTAAACAGTATCTTGGCAAGCTGTATTCCATGTACACAAGTAGGATTACATGTTTATCTTGTTGATTATCTGATCTTCGGTGTACGAAACCAGACCTGTATCTTCATTATAATAATTGTCCCTCTTTCTAGGTATAAGAACAGGCTCATGCACCATTATTATTTAGCTGACCCTAACTTAGTGTATGGGCATTGGAGGAGAAAAGATATTTACCTCTATAACAAACAGGGCTGGATTCTCTGATTACTTAAAATAGTGAGAAAATTGTTGCTGTGTTGTCTGCTAGATCTGATAATTTGAATATGGTTTGCAATTGAGCCTCCACATGGGAACAAATAAATTTTGTTGGTGTGCTTAATACTGCATTCTAAACTAAGGTCAGAAAAGAGGAGCTGTTTATGCGTAGGAGCAGGCACTGGTGACTTTGATAGTCAGTAAGGTTGAAGGTCCTTTAGTTTTAAGCTTGGTTAATTAGCCAAAGTACCTGGTGCACACCAGCTGGACATATTTGGACTGACCGTCTAATGACCTTAAGCCTTTTGGGTAACCTCTAAATTGAATCCATGTGGAATGCCTACAGATTTCACAAAGCAAAATTAAACTACATTTAAGTGCTGAGTATCAAAACGTCTCCATGCCTATAGAGGTGGGGAAAAGCCTCTTTAGACTTTAAACCCCTGTGAAGAACTGATTCTTTGTGTAATAGTGATGATGTCTTGGGAGTGTTCCTCAAAAGCTCTTTTGGACCCTGGTTCAGCAGTGGATTGCTTAGTCACATGCTTGTTCTTAGAGATTAGCTTGAGCATACTTCTGAAGTACATGCTGATCTTAAAGATGTGCTTAAGCCATGTGGGATTTGAAGGTAAGCTGTGCCTAAACAGCACTGATGGCATGAATCCTTCGTCTTTCACTTTCTGATGTGCTTGTGGTTGGTCACTTAAGTCTGCCACAGACTGCCCTCTGTTTCTGAGCTGAAAATCCCCACAGTCACTTCTGTCTACACTGTCAAACAATTTATCATGTGGAAGCTTTGCATTTTGTGGTCTCTTAGGGGAGTAGAAATATTTCTAATGAAACAATGGACACCAAGTACTATCTCTTTCCTCCTGTTTTCTAGGCTGGTCCTAGGATTTGACCTCTTGGTCTTTGTTTTTGGCAAGTTCCCAATCGTCTTCTGTACTTGGCTGTGCATGTTCTGTGCCACAGTTACTGTTCCATACAACCTTTTTGTCTGGTGGGCCCAAGGCTATTGCAGTTCTTCTCGTCGGGCAATCCGCTCTCTCTGCTATGGAATGTTGTTCACACTGTTCCAAACAGCTGGACTCGGACTGGGACCAACCTATATTGCTGTATCATATGCCCTGCCTCCAGCTTCCCGTTTCATTGTAATATTGGAACAGGTAAGTCCCTACCCAGTTTCTTTGGATGTATCAAACCTTGTTTTCAAAATGGAAAGTGTCCTTTTTCCTAAGGAGTCAAGTGTTACTTTTAGTCATAAAACTAAGCCAGGGCTGTAGATGGAATTTGTCTTTGACTTGAAAACAGACTTACATGCAGCAAGTCTAATGAGAAAAAGTAGATAGTAAACTTCATTTTGACTTGGAAAATTGTTTTTTTTGGTTGTTTTGTTTACCCTATAGTTAAGATTTTGTTGTGAGTTTTTGCTGGACATACTTTAAGGCTGAAATTCCATTGATTTCTATCTTCTTGAATCCAACTTTAAGATACTGTTATGCCATAGTTCACAAGGAAGCTATGATATCCCTCTTAAAAAAAAACTAAGAAAAAGAACAGCAGAAGTACGTGGTCAGCAAGTGGTTCCTGTTTCCCTTTCTGTTCCCAAGAAGGAACTGTCTTTGTCCTGTAGTCATAACATTATTGAAACTGGAATTTTCTTTTTCGGGGGAAGTGGGAGGAAGAGTGCAAAAGTGTGGAGGACTGGTCAGACCATGGAGTTACAATAAGGATGGTCAGAGGTGAGCATAGGTTTGAAGAATTAACTTTGGATTAGACCTCCCTTTGGTCCTTCAGTGTGAAATTGAAAACCCTGTTTGACAGCTATTTATGCAGGGTGTCACATTATTCCGGCATGGTGGTAATTGCTGTAGAACACATCTAACTTCAAAGAGTCAGTTTCAAGACTTCCCTTGTAAAAGGGGTAAATTGGAGAGAAACAGATGTTGAAGATGTTGCTTTAAATGTTTGATCCAGTCTTTATTGAGAAGTTTGGAAAGCGAGAGTGTTAAACTGCTATGTTCTTGGTCTTACAGGTTCGTCTTGTTATGAAGGCTCATTCATTCATCCGGGAAAACGTACCCAGAGTCCTATGTTCTGTAAAGGACAAGTCCGGTGAGTAACTTGCTGTCCTTTTTTTTTGATAGCAGTGCATAACCAATTCTTGTTTCCCTGCAATTGCAGTGTGCTCCCCTTCTGAACTGGAGAGGTAGGATTTGAATAGGTGACTTTGGATGGAGGTGTCACAAGGCTCTAAGCTGGCCTTCTGCATCATAATTTCAGCCTAAACCTTTTCATTTGATATTAGGCAATGAGCTAGGCTGTTGTTCAGGTCTAAGTCATCTCTGCATCTTAAGTCTTTCTTCAACATGATTACTTATTTCTGCTTTTAGGAGTAAAAGGTATTTAGAGGCTGCCTGCACACCTCCAGTTCAGTGCTGTAGTTGAAATAACAGAAGTTGTAGAGGCACAGAAGCTCTTTCAGTAAGGCATGCCAGAGCAGAACTTGAATCCACATGTTGATACAGGCCTTACAGCTTCATCTTTCTGGGAAATAAATGTGGTACCAAAGTGTTAGCACTGCACTACTGTTAGTCACCCTCACTTGTAAACTATGCTTCATGGCAGTTCTGCCTGGCAGGTTGTCTTGATTTGATTTATTTTCTGCAAATCCCATACCTTTAGTTCCAGGCTGAAGTTTTTTGATGTGGTAAGGGTTCTATGTTGTGAAAGAGTACTGGGAAACTGAATCATGAGTAAGCAAAAAGATTGCAGAGTGGTCTTTTTTAATTTTTATTTCCCCCTTCCAGGCACAGTACCTATTCCCAGAATTTCTCAGTACCTGTACTTCCTCTTTGCTCCCACCCTTATCTACAGAGACAACTATCCCAGGTAACGTAAGCAACACTAATAGAACATCAAAGTAGTCTAAAACCTTAAGCCAACATTAAGCATCCCTGGATGTGATGGATTAAATTTATGTGTTACAGCTTTCATAAATATGTAGTTAAGTCAGTAAATGGCAAAAGTGGGACTTGTTCATGAAAACTCACTTTAACCATAATAGTATTTTGACTTTATAGTTCTGTTTTTTTTTTCTTCGGGAAGTACACTTGAAGTGAAACAAATTAAGAGCATGCTACAGAGTAGCTGGTGATGCACAGTTCCTGCAGTAGGCTTGTGTGGTGTTTTATGTGGTGCTAATAAGCAGCCCTGCCTCTTGAGTTTGAGGAGGCAGGCTGAAGCCTTTAAAACTGGGAACTCCCAAACTTTTCTGTACTTTGCTGGATTGCACTTTGACAATTGTCAAGTCAGCAATCCTTTACGTGACTATTGGGCAGCTTACCACCTCCTACGTAATTGCATAATGCTGCCCTCCAGATACTTTTCCATTTATGGAATTGCCATAGTTGTCCTGCTGTAGTTGAAAGGGGGGAACCAGCAATTTGGCAGTCGTCTCTTGGATGTCAGGAGATTAAGTACTCTAGAATTCAAGCCCCATTTTTTCTCAGAGTATAGGTAAGTAAAAATCAATAACCAAAGGGAGGCCTTTCCTGCTTTGAGCTCCTATTTAGATGTGATATCGTATGTTCTTTTTCCCTAGGAATCCCACAGTAAGATGGGGCTATGTAGCTACCAAATTTGCACAGGTGAGTAGTGCAGCTTTCTGAAGAATGCACTTTTGGAGATCATCTAAACTGTGTTGCTCAGCAGTTCTCCCTTTGGCATTAAATCATTGTTTACTTGGTGGTTGCTTACCAGAATAGAATACTTTTTCGTGACTAAACAAAGAAACAGTGATTGTGCTGCATTAATGGTTGTGTCAAAGGGGAAAAAAACCCCTGAAGTAATTGCTTTGAACAAGCCTTTAGAGTCCATTCCATACAAACAAAAGCCACATGTATGTGGGGAGTTCAGTAGCCATGTTCCGGCCCTCTTTCTTTACACTAATACTGTATTGTAATGCACTGGCACAGCTACCTATCGGCAGATATTTGGACCAATTTTGAAATAACAAGGCCCTGGGGTCCAAATCTTCAGTGCTTATTTGAGCTTAAGGTTTGAGCTTTACATTTCTGGAGTGAGCTTCAGTAGCTTCCTGTGGATGTGTTTCCAAGTAGTGGCTTTGTTTGAAACATTTACTTTCACACAATGCATTCAGCATTTAAAAAGCAAAACAATTAAAAGGCATGAAAAAGCCTTTGGCTGCTTCCTCTTTGGCAAAAGAGGGTGGCAAAGCACACACCTGTCTTACAGCAGTCAGAGCACTTAAAGCAGTGACTTGCATTTTGACCCTAATCCAAAACATGGGTTCATTAGCCAGAGAAGGCCTGAGGTGATTTGGGCTGTAAACATCCCCTTTGGGATAAAAGAGAAGTAAGCTTTAATACTGGAAAAATACTTACTGTAGTTAAATCTGTTTTATCTGCCCTTGTCTAGGGCCTAGATCAAGGGTACCTTCTTTGGCCTTGGCACAAATCTTCTGTGTCATAACTTCTGAATTGATAAGACTAGGAGAAACTTAGAGCTGCTGTAGCAGTAAAGAGAAGTTGATTCTGCTCCTGGCTTTTAATGTGCTACAGAGATGGTTGTGGCTTACTTTCTGGCTGAACCCTTAGGGAATTTGACAGCAATGTAAAATAAATTATTTCCACTTGTTTTGGCAGATGCTGTTCCTGTCCCAGAGTTGTCAAGTGGTGATGTGTTAATTGTGCATTTCTATAATGGAATCAATTTTTTTTTTTGTTCCAGGTGCTTGGTTCACTTTTTTATGCCTATTACATCTTTGTGAGACTCTGCATTCCTCAGTTTCGCAACAGTAGTCAAGAAACCTTCAATCTTCGAGGGCTGGTCCTCTGCATCTTCAACTCCATTCTGCCAGGTATGACCTAGATTCACATGTGACTTTTATCTTTATGGTAGAGGCAGAAGGGAGGGGAAGTGCTTCATATGAAATGCATTCATGACAGGAAGAGATCAGCAAAAGAGGTCTTGTGGACAGATTTAAGACAGCATTATGGTGTTAACCTTTAGAATCAGCAGCACAAAAATAAAAAACCCAAAACTTGGGTTTAAATTTAGCTGTCTTCAAAGTCAAAATCTAGGCTCTTTGGAGCCCTAGCTATAATGCTTTTACTTTTTTGTATAGGTAGTATGAAGTTCATCTCTGTCAGTACCTATAGGAATAGTCTTGACTGTATTACATGCTCTTGCTTATGGCAAAGGGAAAACACTACAAAATCAATCTGGACCTACCTTGTTTTCAGGTGTACTGATTCTCTTCCTGGTTTTCTTTGCGTTCCTTCACTGTTGGCTCAATGCGTTTGCTGAGATGCTGCACTTTGCAGATAGGATGTTTTACAAGGTAAGAAGAGGAGTCACAGTTTATAGAGCTTCTAAAATTCTTTTTCCTAATGAAAAGGAAGGAGGATGAAATTGAAGACTGTTTTACTAAACAAAGCATCCACAGGGTTTTACTTGGCTTATGCTGCTAGGACTTAAGTTTTACAGCACAGCAACAAATCTATCTGGCTTCCACTTGGCAGTCTGAATTGTTTTTAAGGTAACATGCTCTGTGAGCAAACAGGACAAGCCAGCGATCCTACCCAGTAGCTCTTTTCTCTCTTTTTATTCTGTATCTTAGCCACTGCAGTTTGAGATGAAATCAAACTTTGATATACAGAGCAGAATGTTGAAAGTGTAATGGAAAGAATTATTTCATGGCACATCTTGTTATCTTAGCTTGGTATTATTCAGATCAATATTTTCCAACTTGTTATCCTATAAAATACCTGTAGAATTTTTTATGCTTAATGACATTTACAGTCTTTCAACTGTGCTTTCAGGACTGGTGGAATTCCACTTCCTATGCAAACTACTACCGAACCTGGAACGTAGTAGTACATGACTGGCTCTATTACTATGCCTACAGGGACTTCCTTTGGGTGAGTAACAAGAAAATGTGTTCTTTTGTTTTGTTAATTAAACATTTAACTACTGCGGAAGACAGTACATTTGTCAAGATGCAGCATCACTGTCCACTGAGAAGCAAAAAAAAAATCTTGCCTCAGCTGTTGTGGTTAGCCACTGTGCCTTTTAGAGGTCCATTGTTCATTTCCATGTCTTTAATGTCTGCAGAATGTGGATCTGAGATGTAGGAACATGAGGATTGACTCAACAGTCTGAACTGACATTGCACTATTTTGATGAGCTATGGTAGATAGTTCATGGGTGGGCTCAACATGAGTACTTATGCAGGAGATCAGAAATATGCCTGAAGAAAAACACCTAAAATCCACAGTTCTCTGTAAAGCACTTAGCATTTCATGTGTGTATAATATTTGGTATTATTTTCTCTTTCAGTTTTTTGGTAAGAAGTTCAAAGCAGCAGCTATGCTATCTGTCTTCACAGTATCAGCTGCTGTGCACGAATATGTTCTGAGCATCTGCTTCGGCTTCTTCTATCCAGTTCTCTTTTGCCTGTTTATGTGTTTTGGAAGTAAGTTTCAAGGAGAGTGTATGTGAGTGGTTTGCTTTTTTTATAACAAGCATGATTTGCCCTTGTGATAATGATGACAGTTATCTAGGCACTAACACATAGAACTGTTTCTTGTCTAGGAGTTCCAATTTTGAGTCCAAACTTTGTGAAGGGATTTTTGCAGCAAAGTAGCTCAGTTAGATACATTTTTACGCACACACACACACACTCTGGGTTTGCAAGCTGAAGACTTAAATGAGTAAGGTGTTGATGGAGAGGAAGAGTACTGTATATGAAACACTGCTGCTCATGTGACAGTACCTTAGTAGTGCTTCCTCTTTGTCACATCTTAGTTGAATTCTCAGCAGGAAATCTCCCTCTTTAGAGTTATAGTGTAAGATAAGTATGTCTTTGCTACTACAGTGAGGAAGGGAGTCCATTTAGAAATTAGAGCTCTTGCATTTCATTTTAGGCTTTGAGTTAGAATGAGTTACAGGGCTTTCAAACCCTAAGACACCTCTGCCAGCATGTCTTGGTTACCAGCATAATACAAATGATATTGATCCCCAGAGGCATACAGCTGGGCTAGATTATTGGCAAACTTACTGGAAGTAAATGTCAAATCAGCTCATAGTATTTGCTCTACTGCCAAGCATAATCAGATTTTTCTTGCGCTATCCTGACCTCATGGAACAGCCTTGTTGCTCCAGAGATGAAATAAAGGGAGGTAGAGATCCAAGGAAATGAGTTGATCTTTGATTCTTTAATCCTTAGTTTCTGAACAGTGCTTCTCTTTTTGTCTGTTCCCAGTGGTCTTCAACTTCATCCTTAATGACCGTCGGAAGGGCCCCATCTGGAACGTGATCATGTGGACTTCCCTCTTCCTGGGCCAAGGTGTCATCATTTGCCTGTATAGTCAGGAGTGGTATGCTCGCCACTACTGCCCTGTGGAAAATGTGAGTGACTGATCTTTCCCATGGGGTAACTGACCACACAAGTGGCTTGTTCCTTCATGCTGTGGCGACAGGGCAGAAGTTAAATGGCATGAGTCTTTCTGGAAGTGTTGTGTCAGATCATTTACAGTTATTTAGTCTGGAAACTGCCAAACAAAAGTGCTTTCATTAGTGCTCTTTCTATGCTGATAGTATTTCACGACTTGAAAGTGAGGGTTTGTTTTCCTCAGTTTAATTTCTGAGGACATAAGCCAGTACTTGTGAGTATTCTAGGCAGTTCAGGCTGTGTGAATGGAACTGCAGCAGTTGGCCAGTGAGGTCAATAGAAAACCTTTCTAGGAGGCTCACAGAAAAAACAGCCTGTTGTGTCTCTCCCAGCTTAGAGTGGGTGGCAGTGAGAACTGGTTGCCTGTAAATGGTCAGTTTGGGGTTCAGTTGTGTTACTTTCTCTGACTTACAACTCATTTTCTTGGTATCACATTCTGTTCTATGTAAAATTTCTTGCTGTCCTAGTTGATTGCAGTTTTAACCCAAGGTATCCTCATGCAAACTCTATTTTAAAAGTTTCTTTTTCCTCAATCAGGAGTTTACCATCATAAATGGCTGGCTTCTTGACACAATGTACTGCTAGATGCAGCATTTACCTGATGTATCAGAACTGGGGGTAAGGTGGGTGGCAGGCAAACAACTTGTGGCTGTAGCTACACTTCCGTGCACTGTTTAAGTGAGGATAAGAATAATAGGCTTGCAGGGTGTAGAAATGCTATTTGATCTTTCCCATAGGGAAATTTGACTTCAGTGGACCACACACAACTGGTGCTGTTGGCCTGTGACTAACTTACTGCCTCTCCATGTTTTGCAGCCCTCATTCCTGGACTACTTAAAACCACGCTCATGGTCATGTCATATGAAGATGTAAAAATGGTGTGCTCTGGCCACGTCATCGCAGAATATCAGAGTTGTCCTCCAAGTGTTTGGACCAATGACCTAACTTACTATGGATTTTTCTAACAGAAGTTGTGCCTCCTGATTACCGGGGAGAAACTGTAATTTTTTTAAACATTACTGAAGCAAACCAGTTGACCTGGTTTGCAACAGGCTTTAGGCAGTATCTAGTATGTGCTGTCTCACTTTGAGCCATTTCATGCCAGTAAAACATTGAGCTGAAAGGAGTCTACTGGAATCCTACTCATCCAGGGCCGCCCCCCTGTCGCTGCTCTTCTGGACAACAGATAGGCTAGTCAGATTTGCTAGTAGCTCATTGTTGGCATCCGTCCACCTACATTAGCCATCCCTTTGCAAATTTATTTTTTTTTCCTTTTTGTAACAGGATGTCCACAAAACTTGTGTTCTTCATCATCCTGTCTGCTGCTATGATGTGAACAAGTGGCAGAGCAACAGTATGTTTGCCTCCTTGCTCTGAAGATAGCCAAAGTATTCCTGGATGGCTTTGAACTGCGTTCAGTGTATGTTAGCTGCCTACAGATTTAAAATGGGCAGAGGAAGAGGGAATTGCAGTTTACTTGTGGTTGCATTGGAGAGCCAGGTTCAGAAGCAGGGCATAGTGTGTGAAGTTTTTGTTTGTTTTTGGTTTTTTTTTCCTACTTTTTATGCTGACAATTTCTGTTTTCTCTGTATTCATTTAGTTCCCAACTGACTTAATAGCATTTTTGTTCTCTGAAGGCCCTTGCAACTTGGGGAATAATTTTTCTTCTAGTTCTTCCTTTCTCTTGCTTCAGATAATCAATTCTTTTAGCACAAGTAACTTGTAAAAGAGCTTTTGCTTTAATTTGGCAGATGTACAAGTTGTTCAGGTTTTCTTTAGTAAGAGATTTGAAATACTAGAACCCAGCTGTAAGAAGATGCAATCAACTTTACAGGTACATAGTACATTTTCATGTGAAATGGCTACATCCGGTCTAGTATGCCAGCACGCCTTAGTGCCTTTTGCCAGTTTATGTTGTACCAGCTTCTGACGCTGCCAGTGGGAGATGAGGGTTGATGCTACGGCTGGGATCAGATTTGCTTTTTCATCTGTCCGTGTCTGTTCCTGTGGCAGTGGAGTCTTCAAGTGAAGATCAGTTTTCCAGCTATTGCCACCCTCTATCTAAAGAGGGAGAACATCCTCCCATGCAAACACATAAAAGCAGAAGCATTATATGAATTTGGTGTTTCATTTTCTATGAATTAGGCAGAGTCCCTTCAGTTTCCTTGTTCTGACAGATGCTAAACACAAAAGGGAACTAGAATCTGGGTGCATAGTATCTCTCCAGTTTTGCTGGAACTGCAGCTCCCCTTATTGGAGAGAGATGGTAACCTGATGGAAGTACCTTAACTTTGATCACGGGGATTTTTGAGTTACTCAAATGTTCTTTATTGGCAGTTTTTGTTAATGGCTTTTCTTCACTGACCTACAGCCTTGGTATTTGATACCAGCAGTATTGGGAATGTTTATATCCTGATCCACTTAAGACTGTCTTCTGGGTTTCTGTTTTTAATAACCTGAGCCAAAAGTAACTTCATGAAAACTAGGTAACACTCTTCCAGGCTTTTAGTCTTCTCTAAGAAGGAATCCCGCTCACGCATGGTGAGAATATTGTGTCAGGTCAAATTTGCCAAATGCAGTGTTTGTGTATGTGGCTCTCCTCTGAAAATATCCTGCTAGAATTTGTTTGTTGAAACGGTTGGGTTAATTTCTGAGGAAGGGGTTCATGTGCATACTCAAACTTGGCAGTATTACTATGTAAAATCCTGAGAATTAAATTGATTACTTAATCCTGAATCTTTCACTGTACCTTTAGTGGGAGGAAGGAACAGAAGTGCTGGAGCAACTAAGGTTTCTGTTTGGAAAAAAAAAACCAAAAAAACAACACAAAAAAACCCAACAAACAGACCAAACTGCACCACCCTTTGGCCAAACAGCTTTGTAACCTCCTTAATGCAGAATTAAATTTAGTCCTGTACGTTTTAGTTGTGCTCAAAACACTAATGTGCAAGATGTAACTGCACTCAGTTTGGGTGTGAGGGATAAGGGACTTACTTGCCTCTCAATGCTTGTGTCAGGTCTGGCTGCTGTCTTGGTGTTCTCAGAAGGAGATCAGATGATGGCACTTTGTGCCAGGTTCTGGTGTTTCCCTTGCAGCTGGCACTGTCATATTCCTAATAAAGGATATCAGCATTTACTGTGTTAGCATTCTTGCTCTTTGAAGCCTGAGGGCTTGAGTGTCTGGCAAGCAAAAGGCAAGTAGAAAGGAATGCTCAGCTGTTGGAACTAGCCTTAGTTTTTGACAGGTTGAGATTTTTAGCCTTGTAGATCAAGGCATCTGGCAACCATGCTGTCACGACATTAACAATCGGGATTAATTTCAGTTTCATGGGTGGCTGTTTTTGTTGGTTTGGGGGGGATTTTTTTAATTGCTTTTGAATGTGGGTTCATTTTTTCTCAAGAGTACTGAAGGGGAAGTGCTAAGTCTTTTGCACATTGCTTGTTTAATTAGTCAATTATACCATCTTTGTTTGAGTTTCCTTTGAGTGCCAGAGGTAGCAATATGGTGTTCTGGTCAATAATGAGGATGCTGGTGTTCAGAACCTGCCCTTTACAGGTTCTTAATAATACATACATTTTTCTGTGTCTCCTTCCAATGCCAGAACTGTGCAGCTTGCTTCCATGGTAACTTCTCAGCTTCGAGGTGGGAAGCCTCCAGCTTTGGAATGGCAGCCAGTGCAGCTACAGCTCCTTGTTCAATAACATCCCAAAAATCAGTATTAATGTGGCGAAATGTATCTGGGTCTTAAAATGGTTTGATCTCAGGAGGACCGAGCCTCTGCAGAGTCCTTGTGCGTATTATGTCGTTTCTGTTGGGGGGTTTAGCTTCCACCCTTCTGAAGCGAAGCAGTCCTGCATGTGACAGTGAAGTGTATGCTATTATGTGACAGCCGTCCAAGTAAGGCATGTGCCACAACACATGGGAGTGGGGGCAATCCCTGAGGTATTTTGTTACTACAAAATGGCATGGATTACATGGACCAGTCCACTGATAAAGAAGAACTGAACTGTTGGAGCTCCAGTTGAGCGTAGCTGGGCTGGAAGGTCAGCAGTCCAGCATGAGCGAGCCCACACTGGCATCAGGGTTATCAGCTGGCTCCCCACTGTACCTCTGAGCCAGCCAAGGTCGGCCTCATCTCTTCTCCCTGGGCTTGCAGTCATTGCTGCCCTTCCCCTGAGGTGATGGGGGAGAGGTAGCCACCATGTGCTTGCTGTGTGTCCAGGCACCGGTGGTTCCATGTATGCAACCTGTATACCAAGTTCTGTCATGCACAAGAGCTGTTTATAATCTACTGTATTACAGCAATTGAAATATATTTTGCTATTAGGGGAGGGAAAAAAAACTGTCTCGGCCTGTTTCTTCTCTGAGGCTCCTGAAATGGGGGGGTGGGAGGGGCTTGCCAGAGAGCAATGGGGGGGTGGAAAAAGAGGGGCGAGGTTGCTCTTTTGGGGAGATGTGGGTCAGAGCCTTGTGGTGGAGGGAGGGAGGGAGGGAGGAGATGTTCCAGAGCCGGCTGCAGCACCCTTTTAGTCTATGGTGATGGAGTCAGGGACAAGCTGGCTGAGGGCTGGCCTGTACAGGCAGGGGCCCCTCTGCTGCTGTGGGGAGGGGGGAGCTGGCCTACCTCAGGGGTCTGGGGGCTGCAAGGGCAAGGAGGGAGAGCTGTGGAGACAGCCATGCTGTGGCACACCCAGTCCTGGAGGTGCTGGGTGAGGGGAGGTCTTAGTTGGGTTTGTGACAAGAAATTTACACAAGCCCTTCTTCAGGCCCTAAAGCAACGGGAAATGTCAGAGCTGAACACCGGCGGGGAAGGGTACCTGGGGTTTTGTAAGCTGCGTATTGGCCATCGCGGCTCTGTGAGAGGAGGGGATGTCCTTGGTAGTGCTGGAGAGGAGCACGGGGAAGGAGTTAATGGCTTTTGGAATAAACCAGAGTTCCTAACCTCTCCCAGTTCACTGCATGTTAAATTGGTGCAACTGCCAAATGTGTATCATATTAGTGATTTCTGCCTTATTTTGGACCTGAAAAGGGTTTGTGTGCCAAGAACTGAATGTGATATTTTCCAGCTGTGGACCACATGTGCTAAAGTCAAGTCTTGTCTGTGTCCTTCAACTGTAGCACTGCAGAACAGTGCCATTAATCTTATCCTCTCTGGTGGGAATAATGTATGCTGCCAAACAGCTGGGGGGGGGGAGAGAGTGGAAATAAAAGTTTTGTTCTGTCAGAAGTTTTCAGCATTTTTTTGTATTTTCTTTACAAGAGCCCATTTATACAACAAGACAAGAAGCTACCTGGCAAGATTGCACCTACACCCACAAACATGTATCTGAAGGCAAAGCAATGTAGTTAACCTAATTAGAAACCGCAGGATGCCAAGACATAGCTGATAAAGGGGTCAAAGAGTTTTAATGCCAAGAGCATTTATAAAGAACAATCTATATGGGCAAGGCCCATATAGATTATGGGCAAGTCCCACCTGTTCCACCCAAGGAGACCTTCTGCTGTGCTTTTTGTAGCCGGATTTGCCTATCCCACATTGGCCTTCTTAGTCATCAGCGCGCTTGTAGTAAGCGGGTAAATGCTCCCAAATCTTTTCCAATCAACCATGATGATGATGATGATATGGGCAAGGCCAGTGAGGGGGGCGGGGAGGCTTCAGAAGAGAATTTATGGAGGTTATGAAAGTAACAAATACTTTTATTAGTAATATACTGCTAAGAAGAAAAAGTGGTAAGATTAATAATTGGAGACAAATATAATTAAATCTCTAGCCCACTTAGATGTATAAAAGAAGCAGTTCTTAATTTAGTTTGTAGATGGAAAAGCAAGCACCCCTATGGAGGGTGTAGCAAAGCACTGGGGGCTTTTTCTGAGTTGACATACCTGGTGTCAGGTGTAGGGGGAGGTCACAATGAATGATAAGAAAAGCGTGTTAGCCCTGTGAGGTACAAATGTGGGTTTAATTCTGTTCCTAGATCATCCGCTCCTGCAACTTTCCTTGGCTGGGCATTAAAACAAAATAAATGTTCACCATGCCCACAGCTGGAGTGCCTGTTCCTGGGCCAAAAGCTGGTGCAAGGAAACCAAGGTAGGTGCTCAGGTAGGGCAGGGCTGGAGGCTGCAGGGGTTGAACACCTGACTCTCCATCCTTACAGTTTCCCTTCAACAGTCGGACTCTTCTCTGCATTTTTGCTTTAATTTAGACATAGACATAGAATTGCTGGTATTTTAGAGCAGAAAGCTGACTGCTAGCGAGCCACAGGTAAGGAAGTGGCTTTACAGAAACATGCAAACTTTAGTTCACAGCATCCCTTGGTGTCTGTGTACCTGGCAGAATGGCGCAGTCATGGGATGTAGAAGGCTTTACAGAAGAGATAATAGCTGCTAAAAATGTGATAAGCTGCCTGTGCTTTAGATGCTGGTTTGGTGTAAGGGAGCAGACATCTTGTCATGGTTTTTCTCAGCCCTGTATTTTATCATCAGTTTTACTTTCACCAGCAGAATAACCGCTGTTGAAATGTCTCTGTGCTATTTTCTAGAGATGCGCAAGTTGAGGGGTACCTCAAGGATGCTTGACCACATCAAGCCTGTTTCTTCTTCCCTGGAGCATAGTTTTGTTCCAGAAGAGGTTTTCCAAAGCCTGACCTATGCCAGCAGTTCTCTCTACAGCCCAAAGTACTTCCAGTCCCCACAAACCACCAAACCCCAGATGGGCTTCAGGGTGAGTGTGCTTCCATCTCCTCTCCTGCCTTTTCCTGTCCAGAATCATCTCTTCACTGGGAGCACATTTGTTCCCTGGGCAAAAGGAAAGTCTGCTAACCTTATCGGATAAATTTATCGTATACTGCATCACTTCACTGACCGTGCCATTTGATGCAGATCTAACAAGCATGCTTGCACCCTGGTGCTCCTGTGAAGCTCTTGTTGAGGCATTTTTGTCCACACCAGTTCCTTTGGTCCCAGGACAAATGATGCAGCACTTGTTTAGACCAGTCAGCCACCCTGACCTCTTCCACTCCTTGGTACATTTCTCATGAAATAGTGACAGCCACATGTGCCTTGTCTGCAGGGCTGCCTGCAAACACCGGATCGGCTTTGGCATTATCCTAATTGTCGGAGCAAGTTCAGACATCTGACAGATCACCTGTCAGTTTGACAGGCGTTGGAAGGTAAGTAAAGAAGAGACAAAGAGCCCAGGCCAACGTAAGGAAGTTAGAGGTGGGAAGGCAGAGCTAGGTCTCTCCTGTGGCCTTTTCTGATGGTAAGTGGCTGTGGTGCCTAATGGGGCTGGATGAATGACCAGCTGTCCTGTCTGAGTTTGGGCTAGAGAGATTTGAGGGAAAGATGTGAGAATAATAAATGAGAGTTGCTAAATGATCAGTTCTTGGAACCACCCTTCTGAAGGATGCTAGGATTGCAAGGATGCCCTGTGATCCACGGTTAAGAAAAGAGGCTCTTCTGGCTTCAGCGGACTTAGCAGGGAATAGCTTTACACTTCTTTGTAAATAAATGACACTTAACGGTGGTGGGAAGTGAAAAATGTTTCGCTCCTTGTTGAACATTGAATATGTATGCGATAGGGTATCAACAGTACGTATGAGAAATGGTCTTTGGCCAGCAACAGGCAATGTGAGGTTAATCTGCCTAAAAAACATGATCTCATCTGTCTTTTTTTGGCCCAGGGAGGGAGCCCTGACCATAAGGCTGGCCTCAGGCCCAGCAAACAAACCTACTTGTGGTTGAGGCTGGCAGTAAGGAAAGAGCAGGTTGCCTGCAGCATGGGTCAGTGAACAAACTCTTCCCCTCTGTTTCAGGGATGTCTCTTACCTGTGTGACACTGTGACTAGCCAACAAGCTAAGAGAGCAATGCAAGTCAGAAGGTCTTTGTCTGAGGGTCATCAGCACCAGAGAGGGAGCCGTGGTACAGTCCCACCCACTCCTGTGAGTGCTGTTTTTCTGTGTGTCTAGCTGGAAGGGAGATCCTCACACACGTGTTCCAGTGTTACCCTGATTCTAAAACACACCGGCTCCCCTTGTGGCTCCAGCCCCCCAGCTCCCCCACTGTAGTTTGGTGTTAATTGTTTCAATCTGCTTTCAGATGTAGATTGTATCTGTTGGGCTCTGGATGTGTAGGGCAGGAAAGGGAAAAGCAGTATGAAAAGCCACTATGTGAACTTTCCTGTCCTGGCAGCCAAACCTGCATGTTCTTTGGGAAGCAACCAGGAGTTTACGCACATCTTTCAGGTTGATGTTTTGTGCTCTGTCTCTTTTCCATCCCCAGAGAACAAGCTTAACAGGTAGTCTGATCCCTGAAGAATTTCACATTGTGAGGAGCAGAGGAGTTTTGCCCTTGAAGTACTTTGATGAGTGAGTGATTTCTGGTTTACAAGGGTTTGTCCTCAGTTATTCAGTGTGTGGATACAGTTATGAGAAGCTGAGGACACTGACCAGATACACCTCTTGCTGTTGGGAAGGGGAGAGTGTAAGAGAGGTGGTTGTGCAAATCTCATGCTAATGACCAGGCTGTAGTTAACACTGCAGAGCCAAGTGACCCTCGCTGCTGCTCTGGGGTGGCTAACGGAGAACTTCCTGGATGCTAGTACTGCTTCTCAGGGGGCTTCAGTAGTTAGACATGAATGTAGAAGCTGAAGTCTGGTTTGATCCCTTGAGGCAACTTTAAGAAGGTGGGCTCTGGGTAGCTCTAACTCTCACTTTATGCCTCTATATACCTGCTACCATCTTCAGTATGCTAGGGGTGAGGGTTGGGGGGTTTTTGTTTGTGATCTGGGGTTTTCTTCCTTCCCTCCCTTTTCCCCACCCCCAGTTTTTCAGGCTGTGAGTTTTCTAAGCCTTGCCAGAAAGAGCTGCTGTGACTTCTCTTGATCTCTCCAAACAACTTCATAAATTTAAAGGAGGTTCTTTCTCATTGTTCAAGGATTAAAATACTAAGACTAGGAGTGAAATCCTCACAGCTTCTTTGCCAACAAAATGTAAGAGAGCATTGTCTTTTCTATTTTGATGATCTCCTCTGATCAGCCTCTGGGTGTGTCTGATGTGCAAACCTGGTGCTTTTCTGGCACCACCAGTAACTTTGTTTAAAAATGGTTTACACTGATCCCTTCGTCAAGTAACATGAGAGTAGAACCATAAGAGGAGAAGGTTCCCACAAGATTTCTGTCATTAGGGGCAAGAAGAAGGAGCTCCAAGCTGGTGGGTAACTGCAGGGAGTCCAATTCTCACATTAGACTCCGGATGCTCCCACTGAAGAACAACCCTTCTCTGCCTCTCCACCCTTCATCAGCTTGTATGTGGGGCAAAGAGACTGAAGGAGAGAGCAGGGTTCCTTTAGCTAGCACAGAAAGTATTTCTAATTGAGCTCTGATATTGTATTCGTTTCAGTAAATATTCAACACTTCTTGAAGACCGTGAAAAGAAACTACATCTGTTCCCATCCCTGTAAGTACCACCCTGCATGAAGTTGTTGGAAAAAAACCCAACTGTTTTAATTCAGTTTCCTGGGAAAATATCATAATATGCTATATATAATAATGATGTGTCCCTTTCTGGTCTGTCAGGAGACCTCCTGGGAGGTTAGAGGTTATCCAGCTGATGCATCTGAGGACAGTATGTTGGAAAAAGCTGGGGTAGACAAGCTAATGAGAGTAACGGGATGTTCACAACTTGCTTTGTACCCAGATAACTTTCTTGTACCCAGAAAAATAACATCTTGTATCCCTAGTGTTTATCACTGTTGTGTTTAAGGTGCCTGCAAGAAGCTGGTTTCTGCCCAAGCCAGAAGTTTCTGTCTGTAGGTCCTGTAATAACCAGGGATTTCCTCTCCTAATCTTGAGCTTCTCTTCGTCTTTGTCTGATCCACAAAGAGCAAACAGTTAGCTTGCTAGTGTAGGAAGTTACGCTTCTGGCAAAAATGCCAGGAAGGAGTGCATTTGACATTATTATATGGAGGAATGAAGGCAGTAGCTGTCTCATCTCTTCACTGGGAGATAGGCTGCTGTTTTTCAAAATGGGCCATCAGAAACATTCATAGACCTAAAAAGCAGATGTCAAAGAACATCTGTACCTTGCTTTGCCTTATTTTCTATTATTCCTGCACACTGATGGAGAAGGACTTGTGAAAAATGTAGAGCATTGCCTCAGCAGGAACTCCAGTGGGAATTAGCATAGAAAGTCCCATGAATGTTGATGGGAGGGTAGTCATCATTATGCATAACGTGTTTGAAAATAAACCTGTGGTTGCATGCAGATGCAATCCTTTCCCCTTTTTACCTTTAGCAGTGTTTTGTCCTCAAAGGGAAACCTACTTCAGAAGAAATGGGAGATCTGTGTTAATCTGTCGTTAAAGGAATAGGCTGGCCAGGGTCTGCAAGGCTGTGAGTTTTCTTGCCTGTTTTGCCAGCTGCACAATATGCTGCAGCTGATGAAGGTGGAGGAGAACATCTACAACATTGTTCTCCATGAGCTGATTCAGCAGGTTGGCATGGACTGCGTGGACAGAGGACAGCTGCTTTCAAAGCTCAGGTCTTCATTATCCAACCATTAATACCCCTCTTGGTTTATGGCAGTTTCTTCTCAGGAGTAGCATTAGCTATTTCAGATTGTTCCTAATGTCTTTGCCCAGCAAAGCTAGCCTGTCACAGTGTAACTGGGATAGGGTCTCATGCCAGAAGTCAAATAGGATTTCCCCACCAAGTTAACAGCTGGGGCTAATAAACATCTGTTGGGTAACCTGAAGCTTGAAGTTGGCAAGACCATCTCCACATTTACCATGTGGGCACCTTATCAGTATGACCTTCAGTGGAAGTTTTCACATACCTGGTACCTCCCTCATGGCCAGGCTTCCCATGCTCAGATTACCACTACTTGTAGCAATTAAATTGTTCCAGAGTGTTTAAAATCCCCAGTCCTGATTGCCTTTTAGATAGCTTCCTGTGCAGTGAAAGGAAAGGGTCTTCAGACGGTGTAAGAGATCTGCACTCTCATGTAAATACTTTTTTTTACTCATTTTACTGCAGGCAGAGGTATGTGAGCCTCCTGGAGCAGATCCCTGAACAGATCCCTCTCTACAAAAAAATGATGTTGCAGCAGTTGGTCAACAGACATATTACAGAACTACTCTATTTCAAAGAATCTGTTGCACAGCTGTCTAGGTCTGAATCCTATCCAGTCCTAAGAAATTACCTCTGTGCCCTAGGCTTAGTCCATTGCCTTTGTTCTGTTTTCTAATCTTCCTCCCATAAGAACAGAATGACAGTGTTGTGATTTGAAGCAGAGCTACAGGGATCACACTTAAGCCTCCTCACACTCTCACTGAACTCTCTTAGTGTCAAATAATGTCAAACCACCTTCTCTCCTTAGCACACTGGAGGTTCTGTTGTTGTGGAACTGCAGAAAGGGTTTGTTGGAGCATGAAGTGTGCATGGGAAGAGATGCCTTTCACCCCAGCAGTGAGATGATTGTGTTGGAAGAAGAGATCCCTGCATGATAGTGTAGGGTTCCCCAGTCTGTATTTGCCAGATTAGAGACCTTTAAGTTGTGTTAAGACTATTATCCACTGTTTCAGTGAGCTGTATGAGGTACTAGAACATGACTGCAAGGTGACTGAAGAAGCAGAAAAAGCTCAAGAGGAGCTACATGCAGCCATGCAGGAGGCTAAGACAAATGTAAAGTAAGTTGTGTTTAAAGGTGAGATTGGAAGATTTCTGCAGTGTGCTGGTATCACTCTCAGATTTTTGGGAAGGAGAGGTGGTGACTGGTTTCCTTCCAGAGAAAGAGAGCTTGGCTGTGCATGACAAATGCCATTATTTTGCTATAAATCCTAAACTCAAAGGGCTAGAAAGCTCTTCAAAATGTTTATAGTTTTAAGTCATTTGTTGCTCAGGTGCTGGCATTCCTTTTTCTTCACCCCACATCCACAGCAAGTGAGCTCTTCATAGTCTAGAAGAGCCTGCAGCTCTGAATTTCTGAGGGGCCTGTGGACATCTTCAGATACCTATGAAATTAGATAGTTAGGTGGTTGGTATCAGAGTTGTGGTGAATGCATAGGCAAACAGATTTACTTAACAGGAATCTTGTGTCATGAAGATAACAGCTAGTCTAGTCCCAGGAGAGATCTGTATTCATACTGATTGGAAACTTGTCATGGGAATGTCAACAGAAAGGTGGTGTAGGGGCTTGGGAAGAAGGACCTGTGAACTTACAGGTTGTGCGGGAGATGACTGAGGAAGGAAGGAGGAAGAGGAAATGTCTTAGGAAAGCTTTAGGGTTTTGGAGAAAGAAGTAAATGTGAACGACGAACAGAGGTGCATGTGTTTCATTGTCTTTCTCTTCTAGGCTTTTGGAAGAGTATCAGGAGTTAGACACATTACAGAGAAGCCAACTAGAAGAGCAGGCTCTATTGCTAGCTCAAGAGAGACATCTGGATCGCAGCCATGTATGACCTGGCTCAGAAGGTAGGTGCAGGAAATCACTATTACACTACAAGATACAAAACATCACATCTAGCAGTCTTGTTTTCATCCCAAAGAACTTCTTTATTTAATATGATTGGGTAGCAACACATACCTGCCCTGACCTCATTTCCTGAGGTCTGTATGATTGGGTAGAAACACATACCTGCCCTGACCTCATTTCCTGAGGTCTGTTCTGCTTCACATGTGGTTTTATTTTTATTGAAAACAGTTGATTTACACAGCCATTTTGGTACAGCTCTCCGAGTTCTGTGCAGGAAAATCCGTGAGATGGGTATTTCCATTTGCAATGTGTTTGACTAAAAGTTTCTTATTTTCCCATAATTTAGAATATTGTACCCAGATTCCTTACAATTCCTCACAAAGTTCTTGGTTAATTCTGTGCTTCCTTGTTTGTGTGTCCCCCTTGTTTGTGATCTCCTACTTATTCCCATTCAAGTTAAAAATCTGTTAGCAGAACTTTTGGGACTGAGAGATCAGAGATTTAACTGTATGGAAAGTGGACTCAAACGCCTCAGCTTCATTTCATCCATGGCAAAGCTCCCATGTTACTGTCAGATGCCTCTCCTCTCAGATGAAAACAGGGCAAATAATAACTTCCCCCTTCCCCCAGATAATAGACAGAAACCAGCTGACATTAGTTCGCCAGCTCCATGTTGGTGGAAAAACATTGACCAGCGTTCTCAAACATTTCATAAACCTCTTGACCTCAAAGGTAGGGGCCTGCCTGTGATGGGTGCCTGTTTAAGGCACATGTATGCATGCTTTATGTAGCTATACTGTTCTCAGGAAGGCACTCGTTATTTTGGCTATTATTTGAACCTTCGAATCTTGGTCTAGTTTCAAACAAACATTAAAATTTGACTGAGTTCACTCTTTCTGCTTTTCTCTCATTACTCCATGTTCTGTTTTCTCTACTTCAGTTCTTTTCCCCCCCTTTTTTCTTCCTGTGGCTTTGTTCTCTCTCCCCATTCCTTCTCCATAAAAGCAAACCAGATTGAGGCTAGTGTGATTTTGGCCTCATAGGTATGAGGTGGCATGGTGTCTCAGTAGCATGCAATCAACAAGGAGTCAAGCATTCAGTTCTGGCATGCCCAAGGCTGAGCCACCCTAGTCCCATCTCAAAGGGTTTGTGAGGGCTGTGCTATGGAATTACAGATATTCCCCAGATCTCTGATATGTATGTATCTCAAAATAGCTAGGGCAAAGGGACAACTCCTCCAACTCAGATGAAAATAACCATGACAATGGTCCTTTTTCCCACCCTCTTGCCCAATGCCTGCAGGACACAGAAGACCTGACTGATTTGCAGGAAGACAGGGCAGTTCAGGGAGAGATTGGGTCATGCTGGAGCAGAAATAGAGCATTCTGAGGAGTCCACCCAGAGAAAACTGCAAACTATCTGCAGCAGCTTCCACAAGCACCTTCAATACTTCCATACCAGTGACTCATGAGTGGCCCAAAGGGACCTGGGGTACCAGTCAACATTCTCAACCTTTGCCCTGGACCAGTGCAAAGTGTGCACTGATTCTCAGGCGTAGTGAGATTTGGTACAATCTGCAATTTGCACATCCCTCACTGCTCTACTCTTCTACTTTATGTATTTATTTTGGTAATCAGGTGCCTAACAGTAACTCTGAAGTGGTGCTGTGGGTTTGTGGTTGAATTTGGTAGAGCAAGGCTTGTACCCTCCTGCTGCAAACCAGAGTGTTCTTTCTGCAGCTGTCATTGCTGTAACAGAATTCCTCTATTTATTTAGTTCGGTTCATTTTAACTTGAATTGCACAGACATTATTGCTTCAATAGAGCATTTAGTTCTCATGTACAGATATGAGACTCTGAGACACATGAGATTTCAAACAGTCTTTTTCTGTGTTAAGGTGATTGTATTTTTCAGGCTTTTTGTTAGTTCATTGTAATATGTTAAACAGAACGAAGCACAAATGCAAGCACAAAATGCAGAAATATACAGTGTGTGCATAAACAAAAGTCATTACTTTATAGATTTCAATTATAGAGTTAATAACGTCTGAATTTTCAAGATATGTTTGATTTTGATTTTCATCTCTGCTGGAAGTAACATATTTTCTTAACTGACACCCAGTTTTTGTGTTACTTTGAGTGAGAGAATAAAAATCCCTTGCTGAGTAGGGTCTTGTGGTTTTTACTTTGAGTATCTATCTTGAGTCTTGGTTTTACCTTGGCTACTAAAGGAATTTTTTCTCTCAGTTCTCATTCCCTCTTTCCCTCTGCTTTAGCTCCTCTCAGATGAATGAAAAGCTATTGGATGAAATCCTACCAGAAATCAAGAACTTGATAAATGTAAGATTTTGGGGGTTGGATGTATTATCAAGCGGTATCTGCCCCAAAAAATACCATGTGTGAGCTGAGCCCCAGTGAGCATCTAGTCCCATCACAAGTGTGAACGAAAACACATCAGCTCAAATCTTTTGTGCTAAACCTTAAGCTAAGAGTCTACACATGAGAAGTTATAACTGACTGATGCCATAGTTCAGCCAGTGTGTTAATCATGTGTTTGAGGGTTCTCTGACCAATAGCTCTGGTCACTGGTAAATTAAATTGATCTGTAGAAGTGCTCAGAATTGTCACCAGTAAGTTTCCAATTCATTGTGCAGTCTACTCACTGTGACATTTTTATGTTCATGGATTCCTCACACTTCTTGTGCTTGATTTCCATAACTTTTCTTTTGTGGCCAAGGGATGGTCCAGCTTTTGGAGGCACAGCAAGTTTCTCCTTTCCTTTCAGATACTAAAAGAAGACCTAGAGTAGTATACAGGGGAGGTGCACCTAAGAAAGACTGAAAGTCTGAAGAGCAGTGCCGGCCTGCTGGAGTACTGGACAAAGCTGGTACAAATGGTAATAAATCGACACCGGGACCTTACTGGAGCATTGCCTCCACAGCACACTGCCCTGGAAGAAATAAAACAAAGGGCATGCAAACTTTACAGGCAATTCAGTATAAGGATAGATGCAAATAATGGTAAGGAATGACCAATTTATAGCTCAGTCTTTCCTTGGGTATGCCAAGAAAGTAGCAAGTAATAAAGGACCAGTTGACATAATCTGTACTGGCCTTTTCCAAAGCTGAAGTCTGATCCATAGATATATGCTGGGAATCAAGAGCATTCAAGGGACAAATTCCAAGGAACTTCACTCACAGTCACACGTAGAAAGAATATCTGAAATTTTAAATGTGATACAGTGCAAAGAATATGCGATGCAGCTATGACACAAGGAAGTCATATGTTATATTCAGAGGGATTATGGGCAGTTTGTGATTTTGTGGATAATTTACGGGGGGAAAAATGCTAAAGGAAAGAATGGATGTTTAAAATCTAAGACATCACTGTAAAAAGTAAAACATGGCTGTAAAGTAAAACACTATCTCAGAGGGTAATACTATTTTTATCACCTTATCACTAATGCTAAATCATCTTAATCTAGATTTTGAATTATCCTGATAATAAAGTATGTACATAAATGTTTTCTTTGCTGATATGAAGTTATCAGGTCTTGTGTAAGATAACAAACAGTTGTTGAGTAATTTGCAACTAACCCTCTCAACCTTTGCCTTTGTAAGACCTTGACTCAATTCTGATTTTCAGAATTGTTTCACTTCTGATGTTTTCCTAATAATTTTGTTTCCTTTTAGCAGACTAAAACAAAACTGAAAATGTGCTGTCAGGAACTGCTAGTCATATTTGCTAAGCTGCTTCTCATACTGCCATCTTATTCTCACACTCAGGGTTTTCCTGTGATTTTCCCTACATTCTTCTGCTACATGTTATATTTCAGCCTACTAAATGATCTGAGATAGAGTAAGTGTGTCCATCCTATGAGACAGCTAAAGAAAATAAATATTCCCATTAGTTCTCATTAGAAAGTGAAAGAAAGAGGAAGGAGCAAGGCCATAATTAGACAGACACCAGAATGGCAGAAACTTAACAGCAGATTGTCAGAAGTTAGTTGTGATCTGAACAAACTGCTAGGCAGCACAATGCAGATGTCTGATCTGAAATTGCTTCATCCAGTAAAGTCCAGAAAAGGGATTTTATCTGATTTTTACAAAGGCTTTGAAACTGGACTACAGAAAAGGCATTATGTTGCTCCATACAAGACAGTGTATTTTGAATGGTTTGGATTCATTTTATGTGTTGTAATGTAATGGTCTTTCAGTAGAAAATGCACGGTATCCCTTTTTTTTACATTATATTGCATCTTTGATAAGAAACAGTGAAAATGAAAGCCATTGTAAAGAATAGGTAAGATATAATACTGAGATCATGGTAATTTTGTACTGTAAGGCAGTGGCACTTGGTTACCTGAAGTATTTATTATCTTCTAAGATCTGATTACCTGGTCTCAAGCAGCATGTGCCAGAAGTTTAAAGGGCAAATGGTATTTGATGACAAAAATTAGAGACGGAGGGAGAACAACGAGGTTAGACAGCAGATACAAGAAAAAATTTATATGAAATTTATGAGGTTTTGTTTAATGTCTTTGCTTTTATTCAGTTTTCCTTGCTCACTTCTTAAAGCCTTCACAGTGTACCTTTTTTTGAAAATAACATGGTTTTGACTCTGAAATTGGCACTTGGTACAAGAGTGGCCTCTCCAGTGAGCTCCAGTTTGGTCTTTTCTTTTTCTGGGGACTTGATAAAGTTTATAAGATAAATGCAATGACACAGACAGCCTTCCCAAAGCAAGCTAATATTTAATAAGGATCCAGAGTACTGTGTAAGGGCTAATACAGCCAAACCACACATAAGTGATCAGAAGTGACTGTTCTCCCTCATCACTGTCTCTAAATTGAAGAGACATCAGTTTGATAGGTGGACCACTCAGTGGATAAAGAACTGGCTGGATGGCCGCACGCAAAGAGTTGTGGTCAATGACTCAATGTCCAGCTGGAAACCAGTAACGAGTGGTGTCCCACAGGGATCAGTGTTGGGACCGGTTTTGTTCAACATCTTTGTTGGTGACATTGAGAGTGGGATAGAGTGCGCCCTCAGCAAGTTTGCCTGTGACACCAAGCTGTGTGGTTCGGTTGATACACTGGAGGGAAGGAATGCCATCCAGAGGGACCTTGACACACTTGTGAGGTGGGCTGATGCCAACCTTATGAAGTTTAACCATGACAAGTGCAAGGTCCTACAGCTCGGTTGGAGCAATCCAGGCACAGCTACAGGTTGGGCAGAGAAGAGATTCAGAGCAGCCCTGCAGAGAAGAACTTGGGGATGCTGGTCGACGAGAAAATGAACATGAGCTGCCTGCAGTGTGCGCTTGCAGCCCAGAAAGCCAACCGTATCCTGGGCTGCATCAAAAGGAACATAATCCAGCAGGTCAAAGGAGGTGATCCTGCCCCTCTACTCTGCTCTTGTGAGACCTCACTTGGAGTATTGTGTGCAGTTCTGGTGTCCTCAGCATGAAAAGGACATGGAACTGTTGGAACAAGTGCAGAGGAGGGCCGTGAGGATGATCAGGGGACTGGAGCACCTCCAGTATGAAGATAGGCTGAGAAAGTTGGGGCTGTTCAGCCTGGAGAAGAGAAGGCTGTGTGGAGACCTCATAGCAGCCTTCCAGTATCTGAAGGGGGCCTATAGGGATGCTGGGGAGGGACTCATCATTAGGGACTGTAGTGACAGGACAAGGGATAACGGGTTAAAACTTAAACCGGGGAAGTTCAGATTGGATATAAGGAGGAAGTTCTTTCCTGTTAGGGTGGTGAGGCACTGGAATGGGTTGCCCAAGGAAGTTGTGAATGCTCCATCCCTGGCAGTGTTCAAGTCCAGATTGGACAGAGCCTTGGGTGACATGGTTTAGTGTGAGGTGTCCCTGCCCATGGCAAGGCGCTTGGAAATAGATGATCTTAAGGTCCTTTCCAACCCTAACTATTCTATTATTCTATGATCCCATGTCCCCCTGGGACCCACCTCTTCTTTCCTCTTAAGATGATGCTGCATGGCAGGAAAATTTACACTATCATTCCTGCCACTTCTCCTTGGCCTCCTGCTTGTTAACACTTAATGCCTGGTTGTGGAGCTCTGTCATGTGCTCTCAAAGGCTCCACCCTGAGGAGCATACCCACCTCCTTTTCTTACTCATTTGAACATCACAACACTGCTTCATTGCACGTCTCCCAGTCCAGAGAAGTTAAACAGTTTTGTGCCACAGCTGTACCCACATGTCAAAATCACTGAAATATTAAAACACCTTTCATCACCACCATGTGCTTAACATGCCATCCTTGCTCCAAGTTGTTGTGGAGGTCAGGACCTCACCAGGATTTAAGCAAAGTTTAAATTTTGGATATCAAGAGGATATCCAATATCCGTGATATCAATGGATATCATTGTTGCATTTCAAACATACTCCCCAACAAAAAGAGAATATCCATCAGTATGTTCCACATGAGTGGATGAAAATTAATTTACTACCTTGTACAGGCATTCTGCATGTCTGTGCATACTGCATCACCTGCATCTTTGAAGAATTGGATTGTAACTGCAAAGCTGTTTTAAAAAGAGTTATATTAAGCCTTTATGAAACAAGGGAGCCAAATCTGCCAAGACAAGAAGGGCTTTAATTCAAGCCCAATTTCTTTCAACTTGCTTTGAATTCAGCGCTTACTAAGCAGCTTATTTTTAGTTCCAAGTGTAGCCAGTTCCCACATAGGCTGTTCATCCCTCTTTGAATCCAGCTTTGGTTTTGTTGGCTGAAAGTGTTATAATTAAAGGTTTGTATTTTCTTCCCCTGCAGGCACAGCTAAGTTTTTGACAGCCTTGGTGAAAAGTATGGAAGATTGGTTATTCAAGGTGCAAAAGCTGCAGCAAGGTTCTGGCATGCACAAAGCTCAGCTGTGTGCATTTTATCAAAAGATTCCTGCGTGGCTGGGCCAGGTGGATGCAGTGAAGAGTTGTGTGGGCTCTGGGCAGTTGCATGAAGCTGAGTGCCATCAGAAATAGCATCTTCCGTAAGGACAGAGGTGTTTAATTGTACCTAGGCTGACCTTGCATGCAGTGCTACACTCCTAAGAGAAATGTCCTTTTTTGGATGCCAGGGTGGAGACCCTGGCACAGGAAACTGTTAGTGGGTTAAACATGATCAGCTGAAGTGTTAAAGTGATTGGTGACTGCCTTTCATTTGCTTTGATTTGACAATTATTTGTGGAGTGGAAACGGTGGCTTTGGTATCACTCCTGGAACATCATTGTCTCCCTCAGCACTGCCACCTGGTTTGGAAATCTTGACATTTGAATAAAAAAACAAAATATGTGATTCATTTACAGTCAGATTTGTGGGGGCACATTCCTCTTCATGGTGTTCCATTGTCTTTGGTAAATATCATCAAGAAGTAAATCATTTGCAGAGCACATGCAAAATGCATATGCAAGAGATTTACTTGAAAATGCCAAGTTTGCCCACAACTATAGCATTAACAAAAAAAAAAAAAGTGTGTAATATTTCCAGCATATGGTGTACTTTAATATGTTGTTTTCCTCAAGCTGGGAAGCAAAAGGTGTCTTTGAGACAAGAGATCCTTGGGTCTGGTGCACTAGAGGTCACTTTGTTTCTGAATTTGTTTTTTTTCGGGGTGGTACCTAATGTTTCTTTTCATATGATTCAGCAGTGGGTTCTGTCCATGAATAATGAGACTGAGAAGAACGTCACACATGCAAATGAAAAAGTGCAAGCCTGAAACTGATGGGATAAGAGTGTTATATCTAGCATTCAGTCCTTCCTTTAATTTCTATCTGGCCAGAGCACAGTTATAAGGAGTTCTTGTTTCTCTTTTGACACTTTCTTACCTTGTTTGAATTGAGTTGTGGCTTTTGTCTTCCAGCCAAAGAGTAGGGGAGAACTCCTCTAAAAATAGCTGTAAGATCTCCTATATAGTGCACCAAAACAATCTTATTGTTTCATCTTTACTGAGTATTTTCTTTGGAATAATCAAAGTTATTCCTGTTCCGAGAGCTGTTGTGGCTCTGAGCCCTCGGGGGGCTTACTTCTCCCATGATGGTAGACTAGAGGCTCTCAATATGCATTTTTTTAATGTTCTGTAAGTGGTGTGTAGTTTTTGGTTTTCACTGAATTCTGGACATAAGAGCATGCTATGTGGCTAATAATCAGCATATGATCCTAAACAAGAACTGTGAGAAGAATAGATCCACAGTAGAAAAAGATGTGTTTATAATGGGAATGAATATGGGGGAAGAATGGTAAAGATAAATGTTTCTGTCATTTGTTCAGCTTGCAAATTAAATTAGATAGCGCATTCATGTATGTGAAATGCAGTGACTTCAGACTACTTGGCAAAACCAGTCATTTATCACTGGTTTAGATTTGCTCTAATGTTTTGTGCAGGTGACTGAACTGGACAGAAACCTGACCCTGTGGCTGGTGGATTTGCTGAGACACATGACAACAGAATGCTTGTCCTGTGAACTCCCCCAGTAGCAGGAGTCAGGTACTGAGATGGGCAAGGAGCCCAGGCTTCTGAGGGCTAGTGAACTGCAGCATGGAGCTGAACAGTTGGTTGCGGGGATGTGCAGACTTGCTGATTCTGTAGACAGGTATCAACAGAGGTTTTCAGTTTCACCTGAGAGTTTTCTCAAGAAAAAATGTTTAGTGTGCTGATCATGGTGACAGATCCCATTCATTTATTTGTCCTTGGATCTTTTCCCATGTCGTAAATGGGCCTCACTAGAATTTGTAGGGATTCTAATAAGATAGAGACACCTAAAGAGAACAGCAGTGCCTGCTTTACAGCTAGTACTGCTATAAAATATGCTAGCATCTGTGATAGTGTGGGCTCTGCTCATCCTTCTGAGAATGACCTTTGGAGGAATGAGGGTACTACAGGCAGTGAGTCTACAGATCACTTGGCGCAATGCCTCCGCCTAATTCAGGATCTGGGCTCACACATCCTGTGTGGGTTAATAAACACTGGCATGGACAAGCTTTCTGGGAGGTCACTGTGTGAGTGGAGCAGGTGAGGACTGCTCTTCTGCAAGCTTCTGTAGTAGTGCAGAGATCTACAGATAGTTCCTGTACCTTGCTGACAGCAATGGGCTCATGACTGAATCATCTTTTCCACCTAAATGATTCCATGATTATAAGCATTTGAAGGCACTTCTGCAGGCCTGGTAATGTTCTACATCTTCGCAGCTGCTGTCGCAAGACCATCAATGAAATTGTTTAAAAGAGAAAGATTTAGAAGCTGATTTTGAGCTGGAGGAGCTGAATAAGATCAAGGTAAAAGGTGCCTGTGTTGCCAGCTATCTAGGTCTGGAAACCTAGATAGTTTTACAGATTAGACTGCATTTGCTTTGTAAAAGCTAGATAAAAATATATGTGAGATTTCAAGGAGGAGGAAGACTGCTGTTCCAAGGGATTACCTTGGTTCCCCAAGTTACCTACTGACTTTGCAGTCCTGGAACGTGGATAAAACTGGCTCAGGTCACATTCACTTTCAATATTTTCCTTGCCCTGTTTCAGGGTACATATGTAAGGGCTCTCCTGTGAGATTTATTTCATATGAGTGGTGGTAGATTCACCTCTGATCCAAAGCTTGTCAGAGCCATGCACATCCAGGCTTGAGTGGTGCTTAGGGGTTCCTGGAGTTGCTAGGTGCCTTTATGCAGATGCAGTTGAAAGTTTTTGCAGTCAGCTGACATACCTGACTCCCCCTTATTCTACACTGGCATGTAAAGCTCTTAATTGCTACCATTATCATCACCAGTGTTTAGCTTAGCTTTGCCTGTGCTTTAGGAATGCGAGAGGTAGACCCTTCCTGAAGGCTGAGGCTATGCTGAACAGAGAGCTTCAAGGAATGCAAGAAGCCTCCCTGCAGGGGTTGAAAATACTTGTGCTTCTGTTCTGCATTACCTTAATGAGTGAAAAATTAACCCCTGGGATTTACACTCATTTCTCCCCACATGGGCTGGGGCAGTGTCTATGACATATGTTCTGTGCTGGCCTGAGGAGGAGCTTGTTGAATGAATGAGTTGGTGGAAGTGATTAGCTGGTGACATATGCTGTGTCTGAAAGCTTGGAGAAATGTGTCTTCCTTGTAGGGTGAGAATGGAAGGTTCCAGGTAGTCCCCTTCCTATAAATAAAGACAGAAAGCTGGAGTTATTTAACTGACTGAATGAATATGATAAGTTGTTTTTTTTCCTGCTCAATAAACCCTGAATAATCATTTTCTGTTGTCTCCCCAGACTGAGTGCTGTAATTGGATTCATGTGTGTAGTCATCTTCTTTCAGAGATCAAAGGCACTCCAGTCACCTTTCTGGATTTAGAACTGAGAAACCTCTTTGGATCAGAGGTATATATAGACTGCATTTGCTGTTCTAGGTTGAACCAATTTGAATGAAGGTCTGCTTCAAAACTTTTCCTTAAGAAAGCAGCTACAGTTCCATTTGAGGGAAGGTTTCACATGAAGACTTGCATGCACTCAAAGCGGCAGCTAGAACTATGAGGTGTTATGACTGCAAATTGGTTAAAAATCACAGTGCTGCTTGTGAGCACAGGTCTAAGGCAAAACCAGAGCTTCAGTGTTGGGGAATTTACCCCATGGGTACACCAATGTGATAGCTTTGCTTCACCTGTTGGGGTGGACTTTGGCTGGAATTCTTGTGGTTGCCTTACCCAGGAGATTAAGCTGAACTTGTAGTTTAATTCCTTGTGTGGCTAGATGGATGCCTGAGACTGCCTGTAACAATTAGATGTATTTTATAGCTGGTTGGCCTGACATTGGTCTAGTTTCACGCAAAACAGGTTAGATTCAGATGAGAAAATTGATTTAGGTTTATTGTCTTGAATGATCTGTTAGCTTCAATTCTGAACTTCACTCCCAAGCAGAATGACATTGTTCATGGCTTCCAGTCTACAGCCAGTGCTGTAGCTCTCATGCTGCCTCTTTTTCTCCCTGCCATGGCCTCCACAAAGCAGATATGCCACAGTGAGTCCTGTCTATGTAACTGTTGTGGTCTAAGCATTCAGTAACTAGCATATTCATTGTGATTTGAAACACATTCATGCTCAGGACCTCCTCAGTGACTGGACTCCAAGTCTAAATATGTGCACAGAGACCAGCTACCTTTGCTTAGGTTAGGCCAAAGAGAGCAGGCTATTAACCTGATCCTTATGGTGCCTTACAGGAATTGCAATTGAAACTTAAGCTTAAGGACACTGTCATTTCTTCAACTCAAGAAGAGTTTGAATCTGAAAATGCCATCAGCAAAACGAAACAGAGGAAGAACCATTAAAAGTAAAGGAGGAAATAGCCATCATGCAGGTGACTATAGTCGCAGCAATATGCTGCTTTCCAACACAGCCTTTTTATTTATTGCTTAGAGTATGTGATGTGAAACATGGCCTTACAGTGGCCTTGAATGCCACGAGACTAGTGGTATCTCCTATTTCTTGTTCCTTTTCTCTCTTGAGCAGCATCCATGTGCTGGTATGGATTATCTGATTGAGGACAATGAAGCTACTGCAGATGTGATCAGATATGTAGGGCATGACTCCAACGTCCACCTGAAGTCTCTGAAATTAGACATCATTGCAGTTACAAGGGTAGGAGTCTCCACCACACGAGTGGTTTTTATCCTTCTGCAGAGATTTAGAGCTGGGTTCCAGGTGTATACTCAGACTCTGTTAAGAGACCCCATTTAACACTTGTGTCAGACTTGCTGGGCAGTGCAAGGTGCCGGTGTCCTCTCAGATTCCTCTCCTCTAGCAACTTTAACCATTAGAAGAGTTACCACAGCTGCAATTTGTCCTTATCATGCATTACTGCCTTGGCTTCATGATCCATGATCCAGGACTATCTGCTGAGACAGGGATGGTGAAAGTGGTTTGATGCTGAGCACATAGGAGGAGTTGAAAGGGGCTCAGAGATTCAGGGAGATCCCACAACAACTAGGAATTAAGAAGTTCCAGTTGGTTTTGGCCACCGCTTGCCTTTGGGATAGTGCTCTTCGGTAAAGTTGCTCTTCAGAAGTCATAGGGCCTGTTATTCCTAGCTAGTCAGTCATCCAGAGTAGAGCCTAGAGGTACTGGAAGTATGGATCACACTTCAAAAAACTGTCACTGGATGGTGCCACTCTTTAAGCATGCTGCATTGCTAAATACGCCTTGCCCTTCATGCTTTAGAAGTGATCAGCTAGTTAAAAGTGACAGTGAAGGAGTGTGTCTTTATGGATTCTGATTTGTTTTATAGAAATGAATCCCTGGAAATCATAATTACCTTCAAAAGCTTAGAGTGAGAGCCTTTCAACAGTTAAGTTTTACAGAAAAAAACAAGTTGTCTTTTTCAGATGAAAGCTGACTTATGTCTGTTGGACAATGTGAGGAGCTGCCTCTTTCTGTTCTTTGAACATTGTTTTGTTGGGATTTTTGCTTCTAACCAGGCTACAGCCACCTTCAACCTCAGTAACCTAAGGAATGCACCAGCAACCCAAGACTATGAGCCAGTGAGAGTTTCATGTCTGAATCAGAAAATCATTTCAGTCTATTTTTAGTGCCAAGATCAGTTCAGTCCCTAAACTAGTCTCTGGTTTTACATGTTTTGCTGATATAGAGCTCTTGTCTGTGTTGTGACTGTGCACTGACACACCAGCACCAAACCAGGCACGTGCTACAGGTAGAATGCAGTATTGTTTTCGCATTCACTTACACAAGGTTTTCCCAGTCAGAGAGAGATGACTGCCTCCATGCCATCAAGTCTGTTTTCTCAGAAAGCGTTTGAAGCCCTGGCAATGCTGGAATATCTGCAAGTGCAACTCCTGTGAGTACTGTGCTGGAGGCATGAGTGGGGCAGGGTTTCACGCCAGGCAAGTGCCTATTTTGCTCTCTGATAATGCTCTGCTTTATCCAATATCTGTTGGCTTAATTTTGGGTTTCCTTCCATTTTGATTATCTTGGGTGATCGAGTATGTTTTGTGTTAGCTGAAGATATGACCTATATTGGCTCCTCTTCATTTCTGTGGAGATTTTCTGTTTTGTGTACTCATGAGGTACATTGCAAAGGTACTCAGGATGGTTTTCTGCGAAACCTCTTAACACTTCAGGTCCTGTTAGCACTTGCAGGGTGTCATGTGAATGCAGCTAAGCTCTTCCAGGGCCTGCTTAGTTCCCAGGAGCTTGGCAGGTGCAGACATGCAATTTTGTACCTAAGTGTGGGGAACACAGTAAAGTGACACCCGAGTGTCTTCATGCAGAATTACATCAAGGTTTGTGTTTGGTAAGGACTTTTTCCATGTTTAAGCAGGCTTGGGCACTTTGAACTACATTCCCTCATATTTCTTGTTTTGTCTGTGAGCTTATCTGGGGTAACCCTATCTCATTAGCTTTGCTAATAGAATTGACTGTGCTCTGTATTTATCCTTGCACAGTGAAGATCAGCATCTCACCCTTTGCTAGCAAACACTGAGTTTTGAAACTAATTCAGCTTGCAGGGTTTAAACAGATGTGCCATGAACTCCTTTAGAGATCTCTTAACAATGCTCTTCTCTGAAACCATGTGTTTTATACAGTCCAACCGAAAGCTTCAGCTTTCTTAATTTTTCTTTTAGGTATGCTGCCAGCAGCTGCTTATATTTCAGATTTCAGCATTATCTTTGCTTCTGTGTTTCAGAGAAAGAGAGATCTGTGCTCAAAATGCAGAGGAGAGATCTGAAGGTCTTGAAGAAGAGCTGGAAGAAGCTCTGCAGAGAATCCAAGACCTAGAGAGTGAGTTGGAGAAAGAGGGGAAAGTCATCCCAGAAAGCAACACACAAAGAAGGGCAAGATCAGGAGAACAAGTATTTCAAGCCCACTACTTCCAGGCTTAGAGAGGGAACCAATCTTTGAGGACACCTCATTCATCTCCTGTTTAGTGCAGGACCGGCACATCCTAGGGCCTTGTGAAGATTCTTTGTCAGAAACCAAGCAAGGAGACTTTTAACACGATTCTATATCAGGGCAAAAAGAACTGATGAATGTAGTCTGGTTTAGAGAGAAAGTAACTTTGTTTGACATAGGACACCAGTGTCTGTATGTAGGAGATCACTATAACTGACTTCATCTTCCTGTGAGTGTTCCCTGTTACAGTCAAGGTCTGCTTAGGATCACTGATTTTAGGGTAGAAAAGAAATAATATTCCGGGTTCCTTCACTCTCAGAAGCCACAGACCTTTTCTTTTTCTAGCACAGGACAATCTTGCTGACTCCAAGAGTTGTTTGAGCACAACTGACATACTTTGTTGCCCATACAATTTGGCAGGGAGTTCCTTAGGTTGCATGTTTGTTGTGGACAAAAATATTTCCTTGTGCCCTTTCTCAGCTAGATCCACATGAATATAAGACGTGGAGAAGGAGGAAAAATTGGGAATTAAAATATCTTGCCTTAGTCCTTCAGTGTATCCTATTGACTGACATAAAAGTGGAAGGAGAGGCTAATTGGTTGTTAAGGAGATGATCCCTTGGGCACATTTTAGCTCCGTGGTATTTTTAATGACTTTGGTTTGTTGTTTTGTTTTTCTTTCAGAAGAATGTCTCCAAGAAGGTATCTCGGAAGTCGAGGCCTGCTTAAGTCTCAAAGCTTCTACCTCTGGCCAGTTCAAGGGCTCTGGAAAAGTGCAACATTAAGGAACAGCAATGTCCCAGTAGTTTCATAGTGCCTGTTCATAGCAGTGGTTCACCCCCAGTCCACTGCTGTTACTCCTTACCTAGTACCCCAGTAACTCAGTCCCATCTCAGCATTAACACTGTTCTTCTAGCTGGCTCTGCCACTTCCACATATGTTTTGTTTGTCCTCTACCTTGTCCCAAAGTTTTAATGTCTTTATAGCTCATCTTCCTTGTAATACCATTGCTACCTTGACTTTCTCTTACCCACATCTCTCCTTATGCATCCTCCTCCCCTCCCCTTGCTTTATGTTTGCCTTCTGTTTGTGTTTATCAATCTCTTCTTGCTGTATCTCATTCTGCCTCATCCCTGTTGGATTATGCAAGTAAGTCATTTGCACCTCTTTCATAGCAAGGTTTATCTGTTTCTTAGTGTCAGCGTGGCCTGATTGTGGAGGTATCAGATACCCATCTGATAATGGGTACCTCCTTCATCCTGTATGTTTCAGATGTTTCAGTTACCAGCTGACTGGTTTTTGCACAGAATTGTACAAACAATTGTACAGACACAAATTTTTGTGTCTTTGAATCTTCATCTTGATGTTTTTGTCCTTTTTTCAGAAAGCATGAAAAAGCCTGAAGCTGTGCATGATCCTGAAGGCCTTTCTCAAATTGCTGCCACAGGAGAACTGCCTGTAGCCAAAGTCACAAAATCAGACTTCAGATGATGTCAGTTCACTCACTCAGTGCACTGAGATGGCATTTAAATGCTCCATCCCTCTGTGATTTCTGCTTGGCATCTGAGGTCCCTGTATACAGCCTTAACAGGCCAAACTTCCTAGTGAGGTGGCCACCCAGACTTCTGCCTCTGGTCCCCAACCTAGGATAGCCTGTACAGTTCTAAGGCTCTGCAAGGCCAACAGAGCTGCCTCAGTTCAGAATGCAATTTGACCCAGTCTCAGCTTGGAAGAGCAGGCAGAGAAACTGCCTGGAATCACATTGGCTCAGACAACCCCTGCCAACTCAGAGTAAATTTCATTTTAGAAACATCATATATCACATAATCCCAAAGTACATTTTTAAATGATGTTTTTCTTCTGCGAGTTTTTGGAATGTAATATCTCCTGAAGGTAAAATGAGAAGTTTCTGCCAGCTCTATATGTAAAAGATACTGCTGGAACAAGACATGCTCTTTGGAACTGAGGATGCTCTTGGCTATAATTTGTCTTGTCTTTAGCTACGGAAAAGTTACACGTTTGAAAAAGCTGTGCCTGACTTCTGCAGATATGCATGCAAAATGTGTGTGCCCTGATGTAGTGCTGCATGTCTCCTGACAGTCATTTCTCAGGCTAAGTGTTGTTCTTTTGAGACGTTATCTGTACAGGTGTTGGTCCTTGATGTGCCAGAGAATCTTGGCCTGGATGGATCATTTTACATAGAGTTGGAAATGCAGCCAGACAAGCTTATGAGATCACCAAGAAGTTCACAGATGGATTTTTCCCACTTCCCAGCCACCCATAAGGGGACTGGTTCTTGAGTGTCCTTGCTGTTACAAAGGCTAGCAAATACTTGTAGAGCAAGTATTATGGGAGCACTGAGTGTTGAGAAGGGGAGTTTAGGGAGCTGAAGGGGCAGGTTAAATACCGAATATGTATTTAACTTCACAGAAGTGGGATCCTTGTCCTCCACAGCAGTATTAAGCCAGTACCTACAGGCCATCCTCATGACATAGCTGCATTTAACACAAGTATTACTGCTTACATATGCCAATGTGTGTGTTACCAGGAGACGAAGAGGGACTGAAAAATTAGTAAAAATAGAACAGTGAGTGACTGGCTGGGTAACTCCTGCTAGCATGTGCATGATGGCCAACGACTGTGGGCAATTAAGAGAAGGGCCACGAAGTCCCCTGTCTTGGCCTCTAGAGGCCAACAGCAGCAGAACATTGGTCCTGGGAATAGCTGTGCAGGAGAGGCAAAGAGAGATGCTGCAGGTAAAGTAAAAGGGCAGGAGGGGAACTGACATCCACCTAAAGGGTGCCAAGATCAGGGAAACCACGTGCAGTGGTATTTTCTTTGACAGTGCTCCATATCTTTGGCAAGGAAAAGGACTGCAGTATCTGTAGGTTCCTGGTCATTTCAAATAGTTTTTGTCAGGAAAGATGTATAGGAGTTTTGAGGCTTATAGGACATTGAGGACTTTCTCTGTTCCTTCGCTGTGTGTGTAGGTTACCAATGCAGCTGCACCATGCAAAGTATTGCTGTTCTCCGGGTTCTCAGCTGGCTCTTCCACAGTGGTGCAGGATTCTTTGTCAGCTCAGTCGGAGTTGGTTAAACGGATCACTTCTAAAATTTTTAGACGCCCACAAGCTCAGAACTTGTCCTTTCTCACTCCCCAGTGGAAGCGAGCGGCAGTACAGCCTGCTTTTTCTCTGCATCCCTGATGTGCCTTGCAGGAAAGTGCCAATAAAGGCAGCCTTTTCCTTCTATTTTAAAACTATAGCTAAACACCTTGATTGGCTGTGGGTGTGTGTATGTATGTGTGTGCACATGAGTGGTGACTGAAATCCCATATCCAGGACTACACCATGGGACCCAGTTTACTCCCTCATTCCCAAACCACCAGGCTGGCACCACCCAACGGCCTGCAGGTGTGCTGCAGTCCCTGCCTGTTCCCCCCGTTGCTGGGCTTCACCTCTGCCTGCCTGGCTGTTCAGTTTGGGGATGGAGGCATTAAGCACACAAGACCAAGTCTGTCTTTCTTGCCAAGGTGTCCATGCCTTGCAAGATGGATCAGACCCTAGGGGCCAGGCCTTAAGGTGTCAAGGTGCATCTGGCCCTGTGAAGAGAAAGGGATGACACCCCTCTTCCCTCCACCCCCTGCTCACACGCATGCCAGCCCTGCTCCTTGTGCTCTCTTATTTTTCCCTTTCCAAAACAAGCAGAGGCTTCTTCCATGTACAATCCACTTTATATTACAGCCTGGGCTGCCCTCCCTCCTGCCTCCAGACCCGCCAATAGGCCAGCCTTCAGCTCCTCTCTGAGCAGGACTGACTGGGGGCAGTGTAGCAACCATGGGTCATGGGACAGCTCTTAGAGCATGGGTGAGTCCTTGTCTTTTGGGCTTTCTGAGAGCTTTGTGGTGTCTGTGAGGAGGCTGCTCGCTGTCGGAAGATTCTGAGTAGCTGAAGAGACCACATTCATGGCCTCCAAAGGCAAGGGCAAGATGAAAGCAGTAGGTTTCTCTGCAGTAAGGGAGTGCAGTGCATGGAGATAACGGAGCTGAGCAGCAGCAGGGGCACTGGACAGAATCTCAGCTGCCATCCGCAGGGACTCCGAAGCAGCCTTTTCCCCCTCAGCAGCGATCACCTACCAAGCAGGGGAATAAAGATTTCTGTGAGGCTAGGAGTAAGGGAACATGGACTGCTCATTACAGAGGTAGTTTGCCACCATGAAATTCCCATGGCCAAAATGATTGTAACATTCCTGTTCTCTGAAGATCACAGTATGTATTAGACATGTTTGGGAGCTCATGTCTAATTTGTTTTTACTAGGCCTACCAGGGCTTACAACTAGGCATACTCTTTCTGTAACAGCGTGAGAGAGGGCAGTCCCCATGCTAGGCTTGTGGGAGGGGTGCTGGACACCAACCTTATTCAGGCTCTCGTGTAGCTCAGAGCAAGGGATGGAGACCAGCACTCGCTGAGCAAAGTGCAGGGTATGTTACAGTGGTGACAGCCCTGCACTGGGCTCACAGTGGAGAGTGACACCCTGAGGAGAAGATCCCCATGGGGATCACCATGGGCCCAGTGATAACCCCAGACCTCTTTGTGTGTCTTTCTGTCTTACCTGTAAGCCAGGTACCAGATCTGGCCCACACTCTTCCTGCATCTCCCCTTGCGAGACACAGCTCTTGAACAGGAATTAAAGAAAACATATCTTCCCAGAGCTGTATCCTTGTGTGGCATTTCCCAGGGATCATAAACAAGGGATGCTTTGGAAAGAGATGAGAAGTGTTCAGAGTTGGCATACCCGCACTTTGGCCTGTCTTTGGGCTTCCGCTTCCACAGCCAAGGACTGGCGAATTTCAGCAGGCAGTTGCACGTTGTTGCTGTGGTAGTGAAGGACAGGGATTAGCTGGGCTCTAGACTCTCCTGCCAGCACTAGATGATCAATCTGAGGCTTGGAATGGGCTCATGAGTCAGTCTCTGCATACCAGTTCACTCATGTTCTTTGCTTCCAGAGTGTCCTTCTTTGTGTGTCTCACTTCAGCCTTCTACCTCCATACGTATTTTTCTTTTCCTGCCTAGCTTTCTAATGATTAGACTTGCATTATTACTTGGCAGCAGAGACCTCTCCTCTCTGTGCCTCTGCTGCTTGAAGTCTAAGCTCACTCTTTGTGAGACTGCAGAGAATCCACTGGGAGACAAGCACAGGATTTTCTTTCTGTTCATACATAGATTTACTCATTCACTATTGGCTCTCTCTTCCATGGCCCTCTACAGGATGAGTGAGTCTCACCTTTCTGCATGGGATTCTTGAATGATGAGCCCATCCCTACAAGTGCTAAGACCCTGCGGCCTTTGATCTAGAGTGGGACACAGAGGGTTTAGTGCTTGCTGCAGAATTAGGTGCAAACTCTGCCTGTAGCAGCAGTGAAATGGTGATGAGATCCCAGCTAAGGATCCTGCCCTGGCTGTCAGTGCTGGAGCAAGCAGTCTTCACATGTAGAAGGAGGCAGAGGCTGAAAAGGACAGGGAAAATGGGAAGGTGGGGCTCTATCTTCAGAATAGCCACGGGGAGGGAGCCAGAGGCAAAGAAGGAAAAGAGGCATGCAGCAATGAACACAGCAGGAAAGGTACTTGCAAAGGGCCAGGGAAGTCCCCTCTGCTGACCATTTTCTACCTACATTTCTGTTCTCTCCACTTTGATCCCCCAGCAGCCTGTGACTGCATCCAAAGCCACCTGTGAAGAGGAACATTTTTAGAGCATGATGGAATCACCAGCCCTGGCCTGGGCCCCTTACACGGGAGTAAGACAGTC